TTTGCTCAGCCAAAGTGGGATTCATAAAGATGGATGCCTATGCCTATCTATATTCTTTACTATCTATATTCTTTAGAGTTAGGTCCCCACAACCCTGATCAACAATCCTTTCATACGCGAGTTACTAGTTTCTCTACCTTCTGCAGTTCCAAGAGTTACATTTTCTCCAAATATATTGCAATAGTTTTTGGGGAAAGTTCCATTCTTCGTTCAGTCATCATTGGAATTGTACTTGTCTACGTATCCCCATCACTAGTCTCCTTCCTAACTTCCTTTCAGCCTGCGATAAACAAACCTTGAATTTTTCCATACAGTTTTTCTTCCTTTTCCTCAAATATTCTCCAAGAGCTTCTTTGGTTGTTGGATGCTTCAGTTAGGTCCCCACAATGGACAATTAGCCCTGGAAAAAGGTTATGCAGATAGCAGATTCATGGTTCCCTGACCATAAGCACGAAAGATTCAGCCGAAACAATGGACTCCCCAGATCTGGCTAGCTCGAGAATCCAACGGACACATCTTGCAATTTCAAACCATAACGAGCCCGAGATGGCAAAGCTAGCGCTTGAAGTTGAAAGGAGGGACAGCAGAGAATAATTGTTTTCAAGTCCTTCAAAGCTATTGATAGGGGAAAAACAGTAGAGAATCTAGAGATCACTTTATTGTGGAAATGACATCGATGATAAGGATTCCAAAATTTCGGTAGCCTGATATATCAAAAAATTCTAGATGCACTTGTCAACAAATGATCACCACACTGTTCATCGTCCAGGACAGTATCAGCCTTTTTTTTTTTTTGGGTTCAGGGGAGGGCAAATTCCTTAAAGGGGGAAAGGGGAAGAGATTTTGGCTCGAAACCAGGACTTCTATATTCCCATAAAATCTCCTTAACCATTAAACCAGTGGAAGACAGTATTAGCCCATTTTGATGCCAAAGATAACCCCCTCCTCTGCCCGGTCCAAAGAATGAAATACAAAGGAGAGAGAAGATGAAGAAGAAAAAAGAAGTATCTCTTATTAGCTGATGGCCAATGCTCAGATTTCTGTTTGTTGGATGTTGCAATTCCAAGAATTCTGCAAGATTAATCAATATCCACCTGATTATATATAGAATTGAACGCTGAATTCTGGCATAGGGAGTCGCAAACGCCAGTATCCGGTCTAACTAAAGGAACACACCATAAATTTGATCCCGAACTGCACAGCATAGGTTTAAGCTAGCATATACTTGAACTGTATGGACATCGAACCGGAGATTGTCGCACATTACATTTCAAACAAAAGCCATAGCATACACTTGCCTGTTACGTATTCAAACAACTTACAATGCATGAAATTAGTGAATGTTAACAAGGTTAACATCAACTTGAGAGGTCAGGGTAAAGTTCTCAGGTGCTGACATTTGTTCTCAAAGAAAGAACCTGGTTAATTAATTTGGGTTTATATTTGATATAATGTCGATTAACATATGATGCATATAATTGAGAAGAAGACATAAAATTTGTATATTTATTTTTAAGAGCTTGTAAAACTTTTGTATATTTATTTTTAAAGGTTTATAAATATTTATGCTTTCTCATTAAAGATTTTGCATCATAATATTCACTGATTGTGATAAATTATTTATACATTTACAGTACATCAAATATAAACTCTTTTAAATTAATATATATTAGCATGTCCTTGACAAACTTATTAAGGAATTAATGTTGCAGTAATCATGGTTCCCCGGTTTCAGCAAGCATATCAATACGAAATTCCTTCCTGAGTTAAACAGGACCACCTTTACATATTACAGGTTAGGTGCTTTTCATTCTGATAGGTCAAGAAGTACTGTGATCTTTTTACTGATATAAAGTCGTGGATTCCGTAGCCCCAAGCCCCCCAACTTGCAGACGAATGCTAGTCTGCCCAGGAAAAAGGGAAATGCTGGCCTTAAAGATTTTGAAATAGAAAGGAAATGCATCCAGTGAAAAAAAAAAAAAATTCTTGCAGTGGACGTGGATGATAAGGATTCTAATCATAAACGAGATAGGTGCCAGAAATGGACCTTCTTTGTAGATATTCCGCAAAAAGTTGGAAACGCCATGGTCGACTACATAAGCCCTTGTTTTGCTCCTGTTGATATACAAACTAAAGTAAAAAACGCTTTCTACTATAAATACAACCAATCCTTTTCAATGTTCAGAAAGGAGCCACGATGTACAATAACTATCTGAAGTTTGCCTAGCTTTTCACAGGAACACAGGAGGCTTATGTTAAGTATTCAGGTTAAGAGTATATTAGTTTTTCTGTATTTAAGTTTATAATATAAATACATAGGAGACTAACATATCGGTAAACTTTCCCCTTTTTCTCAATTCTTTACTTTCAACACGGTATCAAAGTGGCGCAGTGGAAGCATGATGGGTTCATAACCCATATGTTCATCAATTTTTACTGGTTAAGGACAAATTGAACCCTTGATCAATTTTCATCTAGCCTTTACCTCCAGTAATAGATTCTCTATGGGTAAATTTTGTACTAACACTTTTCTGTGCAAACACATCTCAAGCCCATCTATCAATTAATTCTAACGTTTTTCTTTGGTAGTAACAAGGGGAAGTATGAGCTGCAAGGCTAATCCCATGACCAAATATAGGACTTTATTGCTAATTCATATCTCTATCTCGCATTTAAAATGAGATGTCATTTCATGCAAAATAGAGTACGAATGAAGTTTAAACATTTCATGATAAATTGATTTTTGAAGAATCTTTGCTGTAGTGCTGTGTTTAAAATAGTTGTTGGGTTACAATGACAGTACGATTTAGCAGCCTGTCACGCTTGATAGAAAGCCATAAAGATGTACCGGGTCTGGGTGCAAGCATTGCTCTCTGGCCAATGCCATTGCAGTCTAATGGTCTTGTAAATCCTGACTCCAGATTTTTCTTCCAAGGTAAAATATAGTACTATACAGTATTATGAGGTTGCTTATCCTGCATCCTAGATCAAATCGACATATGATCAAGTGGCTACTTTCGGTTGCCCTCACTTTGCTCCAGGATCATGTTATTCAAAAGTGAAACATGTGCCTGGCCCACTACCAGCAATTACTGAACTTGAGATCAAATATCTATAATTAGCCTTTGCTCCCCAAGGCTAGATGAACATGAGTGATTAATTATGGGACCACATGATGGTTTCCAGGGGGGTTAGGCACAAGATCTGTCCAACACATCTAATGGGTTTGGTTCCAGCATTGACACTGTAAACTACGGACAATCATGACTTGCTTGGTACAATCACTACAAGGATATTACTCTTATGTCTTATCTCATCACACACACTATCAGTTGGTAGCTTCGGCAAATGACCCAGAAGCCAAAAGCTAGCTGGAGATAGTGGACTGTCGAGTATCAAATGCGAAATTAGTTCTTTCAGAATCACCAGGCATGACAGCTAAACTGTAGCTACTAATTCGGCATATGCATTAGAAGACAGAAGAAAATGTCAATAATTATGCAAAGATTCTTGTGATTTTGAGTTGCAGCAGTAGAGACTGCTTTAAATTAACAAACATTTTTTGCTCAGGAAATTCGAGTGCAGCCTGTGAAAACAGAACTGCTAATTTGAATGAAACCTCGCGTTGGGATGTTTATCATTTCCAGCAACCAAAAACCCATAAACTCCAAGGATCAGTTTGAAATTTCTTTCCTTTTGCATCAATAATTGGTCTAAAATCTAAATAATCGAACAAACAAACAAGTGAATAAAGTGGCAAAAGAATTTTACTACTCCATTTTTAGGGCCTGACAGATTTTTACAGCACGCTGCAAGGCTTTACATGGTTAAAAGAGATACACCTGTTGATTTATTCTCGGTAGAAAAAACATGAACAAGTACAAAAAACTGTACGAAAAGATCAGCCAGCCAGCAAAAAAAGGTCTTGGAATGTTGTTGACAAGAGAGTAACAACAAAAAATAAGGGCAGCGTCTGTCACGTTTTAAGATTGAATCACAAAACAGAAAACGCCTAATAAGAAAAAAAATAATAAAAGGGGGGACTATTACTCTCTCTCTCTGTATACAGCTCGGCAGCACTCTCAACGTGAAGATTTTACTGAGCAGCAATGGTGCACCCGTGAATGCTAAAAGACCACAGCCGCTGGATTCACCTGGACCCACCCTGATGAAGGCTGTAGCTTACTTCTGTATGCAGCGCTATTGGCGTACCGGACTGTGCTTGCTATGTTAACTTTACATCGCCTAGTGAAGTACTTTTGATTACTTGGAAGAGATTTTTCTTGATATAGGTATCCATTACTTGAATGTTTTAACAAGTTTCATTCAAACCTGATTTTGGAAATCTGAGAACCTTATGGCAGATAATAAAGTGAATTATAATTACTGCTTTGAACTCAAGTTTAATATATTGTACATAAATTTTAGTTAATAGTATATAATATTGAATGAGGAATCAGTTAGTACCCAATCTGGGAAAAAGGGGTTTAGAATTTGGAGTTTGGACACAATATTCAACCAAAAAACTAATTGTAGCCGAAACCCTTAAATACTTTTATTTTGATCCTTTCTATGAAATTTTGTCCACAAAAATAATAACTTGGAGCACATGTATCATAAGGGACACTTCTGGTGCATCATGTGGCAATCATGAGTAAAATTTTCCAGCCTGTGGCAACCGCAGGCTGAATTCATCCACTGTATAAACAAAACCCCAGATAGCCAACTGGTATCTATGGTTGGTTAGTAACTGTTATTAATGAGTGAGGGAAAAAAGGAGAGTAAAATGGGAAGAAATGCTATTGGATAAATAAAAACCGACCAGGAATTAAGCTTCTAGAGGTTTAAGTCTACAGCAAACCCATGCAATTACCTGGAAAGTAAAGTAAAACCACTTAGATTTTTACAATGTCCCGCTGTTTGCAAGGAAAGCAACAGCTAAGTACCAGACTCAATCCAACCGGCTTACCATTTCCAACCATCCTTCTCCCTTTCTTTTCTCTCTCCTCCTGCAACTATAAAAAGAGCAGCATTGGCAGTCTCTTTTGCACATACAATCTTCTATATCCCTTTCTCCTTTTTGTGTTTTCTCTAACTCTTTAATTGTCACTGTAGCTTCTGCAATGGCCTCAGGTTCGAGCTGGACACCAAAGCAAAACAAGCTGTTTGAGAATGCTTTGGCTATCTATGACAAGGATACTCCAGACCGCTGGCATAATCTAGCCAGGGCAGTTGGAGGGAAAACCGTGGAGGAAGTGAAGATGCATTACGAGAATCTTGTCGAAGACATTAAGCAGATTGAGTCTGGCCATGTGCCCATACCTCCTTACAGGAAAGCAGGAGGTATGAAGACCAAAGGTATATACAGTACTAGTTAAGTGCAAGGCTAGCTTAACATCATTATACTGCTTAATTGCTAGTTATATGGTACGTGGTTGAGCCATAAGTCAAAAGAACAAGTTAATTTCAAGCATTTTTTTGGTATGTATTGTGGTATTTCCCCATGGCAAAGACTGATCTTTTCTGTTCTCCTGCAGGATGGGGAATCTCAGGCGTCAGTGAAGTATGAACCAGAACTAGTAGAAACAAAGATCTTGAACATTAATAAAGGAAATGCAGCCCTGAGCAGGCAAGCAGCAAATCTATTGCTCTTTTTTCATTTTCATTCCAGATCAAAGTTGTACCTTGTTGTACTTCTTTCTTATATGTGCTTCGTTAAATATTGTACCGACTGCATGACTCATAACTGATCATAGCATTGGTACATGACTCAAAGTTCCTTGTATGCTCCTGTTTTCAGTAAATATCCTCCAATTAATGTTTTTGTCTTCTATATATCTGACCATATATATATATTCTTGAAATTAAATAGCCTTAAAGCAGATATGGAAGTTTAAAGTTACAAAGAAAAAAAAAAAAGAAATTATCTCATCCACCCTCAGTGGGAGCTGAAAATTTTCGCTGACAAAGTGAGAAGATTGCCATTAATTTTATATATTATCAAGTTCAAGCCACTGCCAAGTACTTGATTTGAAGAAAGACTTCATTTACTACTATTCATACATTTATACAAGGAGAGAAGATGAGAAAAGATAAGGGTAGAGAATCTTGATTAGCTCTGAGAATAATGGTTTAGAAATTAATTAACAGCAAAGATATTATCCCATGGAGTAATCCTGCCTTAAGGAAACTAGAGATTATGATTCATGAAGTTTGACTTCACAAAAAGCACGACAAGAAATTAAAAAGAAAGGCAATGTACAGTGCTTATATGATGAAAAAAAGAATTTGTTTGCTTATTCTTGCTTGGTGTCTTAATTTATACATCATTGTCACCAAATAAAGACAAACCAATTTTGGAAGTGAAGAAGACAAAAGTAATGCATGACATTAATATATTAAATTAAATAAAAAAAAGGAAAGAAAAATATTCGTTTATTAAATTTATGAATGATGAATGAGTTGATAATTTAATAGTAATAGAATGGAGAGTTTCAAACTCAAATTCTAATCGTAATTTTATGTTGTGACTTATGATAACAAGAATCCCCTGCTTCTTTGGATAATAAGAATACAAATTATGCCAAAAAAAAATCATGATTAAGAAAAATAATTTTATTTTCATAAAAAATTTCCGATTTTCTCTTAATTCTTAACGATTATGGGTTTGAGCTTTTAGAACAATTTTTTTTTTTGGTGTTATGAGAAGCCTTGGTGGGCTTCCTGGCAATTAGGGCTTGGGACCAGAGTCCTATTTGGGTCCGCGTACAAAACACGCTCACTATCACTGTCTCTTTGCTTCGTTATCTGACTCGGTTTCTTCCTGCATACTAGCTCGGTAGCTCGACTCTTGCGAAGACAAAACTGAAAAGACACAAGGAAGACAAAACTTCTCAGTTCAAGGTACGCACAAAACCGTCGCTTGCTCAAAAATATCATTGTTTCGAACTCTGTTGAAAATTTAACTGATTAATAGTTGTTGTAATGCAGATAATATTGGGGGTAATCGTCCATGGCTCGGCTTAAAATATTAGCTGAAATGGGATAGTAGTTCACGCTCATGGTGATTTTCATATCTTTGGGAAATTTCAATTTAAATGTTAATATATTGGAAAATTTTATCAGTTTGGTTGCTTTTGCAGAGTGCAGATGTCGACGAGAAGGGTATCAGAAAGGAGATGCCAGAGGAGTTGGTCATGGCTCTTGCTGAAGCAAAGGTTCTGTTTTTACTTAATCTTGGAGTGCTTGTTTGGAATGATTGTTTTGATTAACAGAAAAATTTTAGAGTCTAAAATCAATGTTATATTTATTTGCTTTGATCAGTGTTTCTTTTCCTTTTTTTTTTTTTTTTTTCATATTGTAAATTGGAGAGGGAATTTTTCTTGTTTCTTTTATTGATTTGAGTGTGAATGGCATCTCATGCTGATTCCATTTACAAACTATCAATAATCAAGAGAACGATGAAATACCAACTATGGCCTGAGGATATATTTTTGGAGGAAGTAAATCTGATTCAATATCAGTGGCATTAGTGTTACTTGGGGCTCCAATTTCATGTTTTTTATTGCAACTTAAGTCTAATGGGCTGCTTTGTTTGAATCATATTTCTCTTCGTAAAATGCTAGTTGTGATCCTTGGTAGATGTATTACAAAAAGAGTAAAAAAAGTAGGCCTAAATAAGGGTACTGGAACCGTTTAAGCCTTCTTACACATGCTTTCCGTTGGTGATTACGTAAAGGAAGCTGAACCAACATTATCAATTACTTTTGACCAAGTATAAATCCATTCCTTGGATATGCTTTAGAGTTCCTGAAATGTTTATCTATTGCCACCATAATCCCTTTCTTTACTCAGAAATATCTATTTTATTTCTGTTATACATGTTATTTGGCTCTTTGGAAGAAAGTTAATGCCTAAACCATATGTAGGCCAATTAATTCCCCCATTCAACCTTTAACCAGGTGTTTATAATTTTAGTGCTTCCTTAAATAGATGCTGCAATGGATGAGTTCTGTTTCATAATTAGTGTGAATTCTTTTGACTGTAATTTTTCAATACTTTTAAGGGGCCACTGTCTCACAATTAACCAGATTTATCATTTCCTTTGAGCTAAAAGTGCTTTCAATGTGGAATAAACCAGATAGTCTGCAGAATATGCAGGACTGCTGTGTGGGCATATCTTGCACTAATTTTTTGTGTGCCTAAATGCTATTGCACAATGGATCCTCAAACATAGATGTGAATTGGTGATAATTCATGCTTGTAAGCTTAGACATATTTAATATTTTTCATGTTGTAGGAAAAATAACTTTTCTACTTTTATTCCTTACTGTTATTGTTAATGATCTGAAGGTGGTGGTCTATGAAGGTGTTTTAAGGGAAATACCAGCCAATGGGAAACAACCATGTGAATTTATAAAAGTTTTGTCTTGATATTCTCAATCCAATCTCTACTGTTCTACTCTTTCAAGTTTACTGTTTCACCATTTGTGCAGGCTATTCAGGTTGGCAAGCTGCAACTGTGGGATCTGTTCTAGTTACAAACTTTAAAACCGGATTAAGAAAAGGAGAATGGGATAGAATGGAGGTATTAATGGCTTTCATTTTTTATTTAAATATTTTTTTTCAAACAAGAAGTCTTAGCACCTGCTTGAATTACCAAAATTTTATGATGTTAATGAATGGATCAGAGCAACATAAACTAAATGATGTGGTGATATGTAATTTCATTATGTATTTATGTTCTTTCCCAGCTGTGTCAAGTACCAAGTGAAGGGGTTTCATCAGGAGAAAAATATCTTTTAAGAACCCTAGTATATGTGACAATGGACATATTGTAACACTGTTTTCAAGTATGAATGTATAGAACTATAGACTGAAAATGTTTTGGTGTGAACCCCACTCTCATTCCAATTTCTTTTCAGTCCTTGTGTGTGTGTGTGTGTGTGTGTGGGCTATAGTTCTGCTTTCTTGGTCAAATTATTAAGACTTGCGTCAACCTATGGTAGCCACTGAAAGAGCAATAAATGCATATGAAAGAGTAATAAACGACATCTTTTACTCTACTTACTATCTGCATGTTCTGTCGCCATATTCATCATGTACCCAAAGGGGTAAAAAAAGTCAGTCAGGAGATCTGCACTATGTATGCCTTGGAAGCTGGAATTATGCAAATTCAATGTAGGCACTTAACTGTGACAGCACCTAAGGATGACAAAAGCATGTTCATAATGTGGCTTAACACTTACTTTTTGTTATTATTTTTGATGCCATGCGGATATAATTCCATGAACTACCAGGTCATTGGGAAGCTAGTAAGAGTTTTTTTTCTTCTTGGTTCTTCCCCCTTCATTTGCTTATTGCATGAGCAATGTCAATTTTCTTTATCTGTTTTTTTTCTTGTTGTTTGGAGGACTGATTATCGAGCATCCTTTGATAAAGCCATATGTTAAACAAATGGTTAGTTTGATTATTTCTGTGAATCATGTGTTGACGAACTAACAAATCAGCAAATAGTTTACATTGCTGTAGGATGTGCCACTTTGTAAAATTTGGAGTAAGAATTTGTGAATATGATTCCTGCTCCAAGTTTTCTACATTTTTTTTTGTAAAATTAACATGCTTAACTTCAACACATGATCATAGGCAATTCATGAGTGCTTCCATAGGAAATAGCTTGATAAAATGCCTTGACAGCACACAAAACCTTTTTCAAAATCAAAACTCTCAAAGCAGTTAGTAAGTAGTAACCTTGGATTGGATTCCAATTGTGCACGCGTCCAATCTGAACAGCATCTTGTAGTGTGGTAGCTACTGGATTTTCACTAAACCTATGTTTGGATTGAAGTTAGTAAAAGAAAAAGAAAGGAAAGGAAAAGAGAAGTTATTTTTTGACATCAGGGTAGATAAGATGCCGTCTGGTATCTTTGCAGGTAGGGACAACAGACAGTGTGATGGGATTTGCCCAAAGCTCTCACGGAGAAACTCATAAAGAAAGCTCTCTGGGAGCCGCATCATTTGATTCCATTGTTGGAACTTATTCGCGTTTATTATTCACTTCAGTTGATAGTCTGTGTTAGACATTTTACTTTGCCTCGAATGTTACTGTTCTGAACTTTTGATAAGTCAATTATAGCCACCTCAATTGCGCACTACTTTTGATGCTAAAAGTTACTCCACGGCAGACATTCTGTAAAGAAGGGTACCCATTGTTAAATGTTAATGCCACTTGAGGTCCATCCAAAGCTGTCTTGCGAGCTATTCCAATAACCAGCCTGAAGCCAATCAAATCCTAGGCAAGTGAAATATGTTTGCATCGTTAGCCAATGGACATTGAGCTAGGCTGGTGTGCTTGAATCTTTGACAGCTCCAGCCTCCAGATTGTCAATTCCCAAAACCTTAAGCTCCGGTCAAAGCCCTCATAGCCCGTGACCACCTTCTAATGGCTCCTTAATCAAATCACTGTCAAAACTATTTCCAGGGCGTTTCTGACTTCCGAGACGAACGATTCAGGAAGCAAATAGTCTCGTACCAAATTCTGGCATCTTTGATAATATTCGAAACTTCCATCAATTGATCAAACATTGAAACGTGTCGTGTCCATAGCCCACAAACGTAAGGCGAAAACTAAAAGGTTGACTTTTCATAGTTCACCGTCCTTTTGAAGCTGGCCACGTGATTTATTTAGATTATACCAGAAACAATGTCAACGGTCGGAGACAACGCCCATGTAAACCTCGACAGCTGTATATCTCTGACGCTTCTCAGCTGGTCGTAGACGATCCCATTAACGTACCCATTCCCTCGCCGGTTGGCAAATGGCTTTTCCATACAATTACCGACCCAGTTTTCATAGCGGGCAATTTCATTCAAGTGGATGTTAACAGAAAATGTCCAAAAAAAAAAATCCAATCTTGTTTTTTTTAGTGAAAGAAAAAAAAAACAAACTTTAATACTAAAAGTAACCTGTTAACAATGATGAAAATTGAAAAGTCTTCCTTTTCCTTCCCCATTATCCATTTTTCCATGTTAAACCAAAAAAAAAAAAAAAACCCACGTCAAAGAGTCCACTAAACCTTCAAGAGGCACACCTTAGATTAGATTCCCATCTTTAACCCCTTTTTTTTCTGTGAAAAGTAAAAGTTGAAGAACACCAGTTGTGAATCTATTTATAGATTTTGTCAGTCCCCAAAACAGCTACCATTACATAACCGTCAAACCCTGCCTTATCCTCCGGATCATTGCTGTTAACAGAGCAGATCGGCAACATGAACCAAGGGGGCTTAGCCACCAAAAATGGTGGCTCGGGAAGCGGCGCTGTCGGTGTTCAGATCCAGCAATCCCGAAGGCTTCCGGATTTCCTTCAAAGCGTCAATCTCAAGTACGTAAAATTAGGCTACCACTATCTGATTTCCAATCTTTTAACCCTCTGTTTTGTCCCTTTAATCGCGGTGATTTCAATCGAAGTTTCTCAAATGAATCTCGATGATTTACGTCAATTATGGCTTCACCTTCAATACAATCTCGTCAGCATAATCATTTGCTCTGCTATTTTAGTCTTCGGGTTAACAGTCTATATCATGACCCGACCCCGAGCAGTTTACCTTGTCGATTATGCTTGTTACCGTGCTCCTGACCATTTTAAAGCTCCATATGGTCGTTTCATGGAGCACTCTAGGTTGACCGGTGATTTTGATGAATCGTCTCTCGAGTTCCAACGCAAGATTTTGGAGCGCTCGGGGCTCGGAGAAGAGACTTATGTTCCTAGAGCAATGCATAATATTCCTCCCACGCCGTCTATGGCGGCAGCAAGGGAAGAAGCTGAGGAGGTTATGTTTGGGGCATTGGATATTCTTTTCCGGAACACGAATGTCAACCCCAAGGATATTGGTATTCTTGTTGTGAATTGTAGTTTGTTTAATCCCACGCCTTCATTGTCGGCTATGATTGTGAGTAAGTATAAGCTAAGGGGAAATATTAGGAGTTTTAATTTAGGTGGGATGGGGTGTAGTGCTGGGGTGATCGCCGTAGATCTTGCCAAGGATTTGTTGCAGGTGCATAGGAACACGTATGCTGTTGTTGTGAGTACTGAGAATATTACTCAGAATTGGTATTTTGGGAATAAGAAGTCTATGTTGATACCCAATTGTTTGTTTCGAGTTGGGGGTTCTGCTGTTTTGCTTTCGAATAAGTCTAAGGATAGGAGGCGAGCTAAATATAAGCTTATTCATGTGGTGAGGACTCATCGTGGAGCAGATGATAAGGCGTTTAGGTGTGTGTATCAGGAACAGGATGATGCAGGGAAGACGGGTGTTTCGCTGTCTAAAGATTTGATGGCAATTGCTGGAGGTGCGCTAAAGACCAATATCACTACGTTGGGTCCTCTTGTGCTACCAATCAGTGAGCAGCTTTTGTTTTTCTCAACTTTGTTAGTGAAGAAATTGTTCAATGCAAGTGTCAAGCCTTATATTCCAGATTTCAAGTTGGCATTTGATCATTTCTGTATACATGCTGGTGGGAGGGCTGTGATTGATGAGCTGGAGAAGAATCTGCAGCTGCTACCGATACATGTGGAGGCTTCTAGAATGACTCTCCATCGTTTTGGAAATACTTCTTCAAGCTCCATTTGGTATGAATTGGCGTACATTGAGGCTAAGGGTAGGATGCGGAAGCGCAACCGTGTCTGGCAAATTGCATTTGGAAGTGGTTTCAAATGTAATAGTGCAGTCTGGCAAGCACTTCGAAATGTAAAGCCATCTTGTAATGGTCCTTGGGAAGATTGCATTGATAACTATCCTGTGAAAATAAGTACCTAACTGAGCAACATTTTTAGTTAGATTCTACATTCAGACAGAGTATTTCATTGGAAGGCAGACCGCTAGAACTTGCTTTATCTAATTCTTGATGTGTTCTTTAGTCAGTCATTTTTCTCAGCATGTTGTCAAATTTAATTACCTTTGTGTTTCATTTTTTTTTTTTTGCACTTGCATGTATGTCTGGAGTACTATCATGTGAAACTAGCTTATTTTGTACAATAATTCTCCATTTATTTACTAGTCTTTGACCTGTTTGAGACTATTATTGATTGAAATTTTCATCAATGTGCCATCATAGCATTTCATCTTTCTTTTCCCTTGAGTTCTTTTTCCTTTTTTTTTTTTTACTGTGGAAACAAATATTTATTGAAATTATTGTTGAGTGGACATTAGTTTTTTACAGATATCATTTATGTATAAGATCTTTGTGCTGCCGCTAAAAGTGATAAGCACCGAAATGTCAAGACTTGATTAGTGGTCCTTGCTTTCCTGCAGTTTCTTTTTGGGTCAAAACATGTTTTCTTCGTGAAGCAATAATGAGTGAGATACTCATCTGGCCAGCGATCTATGTCTGTCTTAATAGCAGAAAATTTGACCAGCCAATGGTATTGGTATCTGGCATCACCGTCTAGGTTTTATATTAAAAGCATAATAGTTACTCTTTACTAAAGTCTAGTGCTTCCTGCCTTAGGGTGAAGGGTATCTAGCATCTCCATTTCGCAACAGTTTTCTTCAAGGAATGCTTCCCATATTCTTGCTCAGTCTTTTCACATCGGTCTGCTATCAGACAACCACTCTCTTACTCAACATTGCATATCAAAAGATGGAGACAAACAATCACGGGAATTGTTCAATGATATCATTTCTTGAAACTGAAAAATCTAATCATGGAGTAATAGTTTGAGTTCCTTTTTGCATTCGGATTCTACGCATGAGCGTGATCGTAGCACTGATCTTTCTGGTCTTGATCTGAGGTCAATGTTACAATGCCACAAAAAGGAAAATAACTTACTGTAATCACTGACCGCTTGTTTGTGGCATAGCAAAAGCACCGGCTAACCTTCATGAATGAATCCAAATACGATCACTTTGCAGCAGATGAATCATATCCTTTTGTTTAAAGACTGTTTCTAAACCTTTTCTTGTATTCTAACAGCTTAATCTGTTCTCATGAAGTGTCAAAATAAAAGCCAAAGCGATTTGCCCCATCGAAAGAATATAAATCAATTCATCACTCGAATAAGCAGACAATACAGATATTTGTTTGAGGATGAAATTTGAGACATACAGAAATTCAAGCCAGGTACAAAAAGATGCTGACCAGAGAATATGCGTTTTCTATGCCAAAGGAAGATAATCGCAAACAAAAATTTTACACCTAGTGATCTGTGAGATCATTACAAAATGGAAATTGCAGGAATTGGATTCTTCTAAACAACAATGAAACAAGGAGAAGAAAAGTTCATCTGAAAGACCTTTGGATTTCTTCCAGTGTTCTTCCCTTTGTCTCGGGGACCCAAAGGCTCACAAATAAGATGGTGAAAGCGCTCACAAGCATGTAAATCGTAAAGGTTCCTGTTGAAGGTCAAGGGAGCTTGAGTTAATAAGGAAGCCAAAACAATAATAACGTGGCTCCTGTTAGGGTGTCCATGTCAGTTATGTGAGATTTAATAATCTTCTAAACATGACTGCCTAATTTTGATATTCTGGCTTTTGCTTTTTGTCATACTATCAACTTCATATGATGGGGATATAGATGTGGATGCATGCGTGCATGACGAGAGAGAAGGAAAGGTACCTCCACTGCTCCAATCCAGAAGCAGGTTGGCAGTCATTGTAACCACCCAAGCAATGAACCAGTTGGAAAGTGTTGCTATGCTTCCAGCAAGACCCTTGATATTTATTGGAAGAATCTGCAATGGGACACGAGCAAATTACAAGGTGCAAATTTTAAAGGGAGATCATGGTTATCATTTTCTACCATACTGGAGGTTATGCTGTAAGAATCAGCACTCCATAGCGAAGATTTTCCTAAAAGAGCAAGTTCAAGCAGTAAAATGATTGAAATGGATTGACAGTCATTTAAAAACCAGCATTTTATTAAGATCATTTTTAGCAGTCAATGTTAGGGACAGCAGTCTGGTCTAACAATGACCATTCTTTTGGAGCTCAACCATAGAAAACTAGCAAGGGTTGAACAGTAATGACTCTTTTGTAAACAATCTCCTTCGTCTCAAATTCTAGATCACTGGACATTGAGTGAAAACATCAGAAACCAAAATTTTGCTGGAAAACGATTGGGTTGGGTTCGATAAATAAAGAAGTTATCACCTATGCAAAAGCTTGCAGATTTGACAAAAGTAAGCATAGCCCATCAACTCAGTGGATGAAAGATGATACTGAATAATTTAACATGTTTGATACCTCTGACATTATAACCCAAGGAATGGGCCCCATTCCAAGAGAGAAGGCAACCACCATGGCCTGAAAGAAGAACAAGTTAGACAATTACTCCAACAAAGATTCAAAGCAATAACTCAGAATTAGAGAAGGAAAAGTAACATACCACAACTCCAACTACAGAGAAGATGCCCATAATGCTATAAAGGGTCGAGTCACTTGATACAACATCCTGGATCAATTATCAAAATCGTGATAAAGAAATAGAAACTTCAATATAATTGAATCATATACAGATTTCAGTTTACTTCTGTTTTTTTCCCTTTTTTTTACGCAGGGGGTATTGTCAACAGAATCCACAATATTATTACCTTTATAAAGAATGAGACTGCAGCAACTAGGAGGCTGATAGTCATTCCAGTAGAGGAGACCTGAAATAAGTAAAGGGCAAACAATAATCTCTTTTGCTGATAAGTCATTACCAAGAAATAGGGCAAATAAAATTAGAGTAAACTTACTATAAGCAGAAGCCGGCGCCCTGCTTTGTCCACCAACCATGTGGCTACAGCAGTAGCAATGACCTAACAGTGCATAATTCCAATGATCACAAAATTTCAAAAGTTCTCATTGTTGACAGAAAAGTTTGATGAAAAGAAAAGGCTGTGGCATCTCTTCAAGGTATACCTGAATGGCACCAACTCCAAAGGTAGCTGCATTGCTTGATTTAAGCCCTGCTCAAGGTTAAAATCATCTAGTTAAGCCTTTTAAATTGAATATCAAACTCAAGGTATGTACTGTGATATAAAAAGAAGAGGACTAGAATAGTCAGGTAGAGCCAACAAATATGACTGACATAAGGATTAGAAGTTTAAAAGCATCAGCAAACTGCGGAAAGCTTGTATGACAACACACCAAGGAAACAATATAGTAAAACAAAGCATATTAATATTGCAACACAGGCAGAGACAGGAGCAATCTTAGGTTGTCTGAGTTTGTGTAACATAAATGAAAAAGAGGAAGCATACTAACATACTTCTAATCAGTACATAGAAAATAACCAACAATAATGATAGAAAGAATTCAAGAATTCTTGTCTGGCAAATGTTTCCATAATGTGTAAAACAAGCTTAAGCTTACCGGCATCTTCAAAAATGGTACTGGAATAGAATATAACACCATTAATGCCACAAAGCTGTTGCAGCATAAGTAGTCCAATTCCAACCTGAAAGATATTGGCCCATGAAACCAATTAGGTTCCTTTTCTTCCTGGTTCTATCAAGACCTAGAACAGTTCAGATGAATGGAAAGACAGAATAAAACTTGTGAGCAATCAAAAATACCATCAACGGAAACCAATATCTCCTTTGTTTGAGTTCTGCAAACCGAATTGTAGTTCTTCTAGTTGTTGATGCTACAGACCTCTGTGAATTTAAAAAACAATAATATAAATAACTGAAATAGTACTTTTAGGACAGAGAGGGGAGGGGAGGGGAGGGGGAAGAATAACCTACAAATAAATTAGAAGTTTTGAACAAGAACTTGCAAACATAGATTGAAGAAAAGCTTTTTAACTGCTTATTATTACCTTGATTTCATTCACTTCAATAGAAATATCAACATCAAAACCCCTGATAACTTGCAAAGAAGTTTCAAAATCTTCTGTCATACCCATTTTAGCCTAGAATAGGGAAGGAAACTTGAATCCAGTGATCATAACTATCTATGTAAGCATGCTTGAGTAAAACCTACTTCTCAAGCTTACCAGCCATCGAGGCGATTCTGGAATGAAAAATAGACCAGGTATCAAAATTGTACAAGGAAGTATTCCTGCCCAAGGACAAAATTAGCAATTTCCATCAGTAAAAATAGTTAATTTTGAATAGTTTCCTATTGCCATCATCCAGTAAGTAGTAACTTTAAAAGTCCGAAGTTTTGTTTTTCTCTTTTCCCCATTCTTAGAGGAAGTAATGACTTCAAGTAGACTGAAAATGAATGGTAATAGGATTAGAATGCTCAAATCTCATAAATTTTGTTGGTTTCAGCAGCATTGAGGAGAAAGTTGATCATCACAACAAAAGAAGTGGCTGGAGAAGTTATATTATAGTGAAGCCATATGAGAACATTCTTTGAAATTGAAATCCTTCCTAAGAACTCATAAATGAAACAAGTGAGCAAACAACTGGAATTCTTTCCATTCTTAAGTCAAAACACTTAAATTTTCAACTTCTACCAGGTCTGAACTGGAATGAATTTTTCGACAAATGGGATAGGGTCCAGAACTGCTCTGCTACGCTGCTAACTGTCTACCAGGATTGATGTACATGAGAAATCCATTTTTCCAACAATAACAGATCACCAATCTTTAAAAAAGAAGAAGAAGAAACCGTTTTCAACAAATGATGCAGTCATGAGAATTAAGCAGTTAGATGATTACCTAAAACTGCAAGTATCCTCCACTCAACAAAAAGCCCCAGCAGATAGGCCAGCATTATTCCAAGTGTGACAGACAGCTACACAGTATAACATGTATATTTGAGCAGTCTAACAAGTGATTAAACCCTTCTATAAATATTCAATTATTCATCAACAACACTAAAGGTAAACAGAGCAAGAGCCAACCTGATTCACTGAACCCAACCTCCCCCTCAAGTCTTGAGGTGCTATCTCAGCAATATACACAGGCACCTATACATGATAAACACAATCAATACTCTCAGCATTGCTTTGCAACAAAATTTGATCTTAGTAACCAAAGCATAGTTCCCCATTACCGTATAAGAGATTATTCCCACACCAAAACCTTCCAACAACCTTCCCATGTAAAGAAAAGATGAATCCTGCAAAATGCAGAAGGCTTTATTGTAGGAGTAAATGATCAAGTTATCTTATACCAAAGTAGCCACATGAAACTTGGATAATATAATCATTAGAAACTCACTCTTGCAAAGGATATAGAAAGCCATCCAATTATATTAGGAATAGCAGCAATTATTAAAGACTGCAATGAAAATAAGATACTAAACTTAGTAATCCAAATCAAAACAAGAAACAAAATTGTGAAGCTAAATCAGTGACTGGAGTACCCCTTTTCTTCCAATATATTCCGCTATCTGACCACTGGCTATTGCTCCAACCATCGCACCCACATTTGATAAAGAACCAAATAGAGAAAACTGTCCCAAAAATAGGACTTATTAGCTGAATTAAGTCAAAGAGAACAGCCAGTTAACGAAACCAAATAATAATAATAATAATTTTACCTCTGAGACTGTTAGTCCAAGATCCTTGATGATTGCAGATTGTGTAGGAGAAGAGTAGCCAGACTACAAACAAATTAAACCCAATTCAGAACTTCCATTTGTCATTTCAAATGATAGCAAACTTAAAGCCAAATCAGAAAAGAAGCAAAGCAAGCGAAAAGGAAGTTAACTTACAGTGAAACCGAATTGAATAGGACCCAAAGCAACAATCAAAACGCAAGCTACAACAGAGATGGAGCTATCGCGTATAACCTGAGATGAACTCATCATACTGGAGCCCATCGTGGAACCCATTCGATACCAGCTTCCGGTATGTAGAAACGGCTTCCGTAGATCCCTCGCATCTTCAGAATCATCCCTGAAACTCATCTGTCCCTCTTTTCTCTGTACCAACAGTCTCTTTCGATGAACAAAAAAACTCTCTGATCACCCAGACAGAAAAGAAGGAGCCCTTTTGTTAGTATTTTTATGAGGTGGAAGCCCAAGTTCAATCATTGAAAGCAAGTTAAACAACAATTTGCTTGCTTGTTAAATTAAACTAATCAGATTCTAATATATTATCGTGATGATGTATCAGTAGCATATATAAGCTATACATTTATAGACTAACACTTTCAGCTTTGTCTTGCCAAATAATTATATCCAACAAAGGAAATCCTATCAACCAATAAAATAGAATAAAATAAAAATCCCAGTTGTCTGTAACTTTTCTTTGTAAATGTCTGGACTCGCATGTACCTCCATTCCATGTTTATAAGTGAAAAGTGAAAAACATGGGTTCCGAAAGAGTAATTGTTTGATTGGAACTCCAACTAACAGTCCTCGCTGTAAAAGCGAATCAACAGAAACTAAGGAGTTGGCATTGTTTGAGGTAAGGTTGTCTGATTTTGAAATCTTTGCACCAGAAATTTAAATCGGTCCACGTGAAAAATATGAATGAAGAAAGCTGACGAGGAAACGAGGCCGCTGTTGGTAACGAAACTACTGCTAGTTTCGATGTGGGACATGTGTACACCAAACGTTCCATTACTGGTCAGTCCATTCTGAAAGTATCGACTTGTTCCTTTTTCCTAGTTAGCTGAAGAGGATCCAAAATGAGGACCGCTGCCTTAATTGCAGGTAGTTTTTTTTGGGACCTTGGATTAAGGCTACCCCTTGGCCTGCTTTGGTTGGGCTAGACTGGTAGACCCTTTTGCTGAACTATGACCCGTCGGACGGTGCTGAAGTAGGGCTACCAGTTGGCCTGCTTTAATTGAGCTAGAGGATAGACTTTTGTAACATTTAATAATATAAAGCACGATATAATATTTAAAGTACAACATAATGATACATACGAATACAATATAAAAATAAATAAAACATAAAAAAATTAAAATTAAAATTTTAATAATAATTATATACAAATTTAAAAAATTAAAAAAAATAAATTGTATATTTTATATTAATATAAAATAAAAATTATAGTTTTTATATAAAAATAATATAAATACCAAATTTAATATTTTATATAAATACACTAATCTTTCAATACACCTTTTATAAGATGCTACACACGCGCTGTAACCGAGCGTGGAATATAAATAAATGATCAAACTTTTCGCACTTGTTGGGACGAAACTGAGAAGCGAATAAAACACAGTTTAGATTGACAAGTGAAGATTTTTTATAAATTAAATAAAAAAAGAGTCAGTCACTCCAATTTTCTCTGTTTCGAGTCTTTCCACTCCATATAATCACTCCATTCGCCGGTGTCTTCTTCCCACTACTTCTCCCCGTAACCCTAACCCCGCAGCCAACTGCCAACTTCAACACCGTCGTCATTAACAGAGTCAATCACTGATTTCTAATTATAACTCAGATTTTGATCGATCTCACATGGGCGAACAAACCCCGGCACAGTCTCAACCACAGGCTCAATCTCAGCCCTCTAACGACTCTTCCTCCGCCCAAACGCAAGCTCAAACCCAAACTCAAAATCCGAATAATACCTCCATCGCCGCCGTTACCACCGTCACCTCCGCGGTCGTAGCCCCTGCTCCAACGGAACTCTCCAACGTTCCTCCCCCAACCTCGTCCCCTGCTTCGAAAATCCCTTTGCGTCCTAGAAAGATCCGGAAGCTCTCCCCAGACCCGAACTCTGACCCTAATGCCTCCCAACAAGCAACGACTCCCTCAACATCCGTAACGGAACCGCCTAAAACCGTCGCCAAAACTCCCAAAACAAAACTCACTCAACATCGAGCCCTAGCGGTGGTTCCAAGAATCGTGGCCCGGTCCCTCTCTTGCGAAGGTGAGGTCGAAAACGCCATCCGCCACCTCCGCAACGCCGATCCCCTTCTCGCTTCCTTAATCGATCTCCATCCACCTCCAACCTTTGATACTTTCCAAACCCCTTTCCTCGCTCTCACTCGAAGCATTCTCTACCAACAGCTGGCTTTCAAAGCCGGCACTTCCATCTACAGTCGCTTCATCGCTCTCTGCGGGGGCGAAAACGGTGTCGCTCCCGAAACTGTTCTTTCCTTAACCCCTCAACAGCTCCGACAAATTGGTGTCTCGGGACGAAAAGCGAGTTACCTTCATGATCTCGCGAGAAAATACCAGACGGGGATATTATCGGATCCGGCGATTGTAAATATGGATGACAAATCACTTTTTACCATGCTTACAATGGTAAATGGGATCGGTTCTTGGTCGGTTCATATGTTTATGATTTTCTCGCTTCATAGACCCGATGTTTTGCCGATTAATGATCTCGGGGTTCGGAAAGGGGTTCAATTGCTCTACAATTTGGAGGAGTTGCCGAGGCCTTCGCAGATGGATCAGTTGTGTGAGAAGTGGAGGCCGTACAGGTCAGTTGCTTCATGGTATCTTTGGAGGTTTGTGGAGGCCAAAGGAGCGCCTTCTAGTGCTACCGTGGTTGCTGCTGGTGCTAGTCTTCCTCCGCCTCAGCAGGAGGAGCAGCAACAACATCAACAGCAACCCCAGCTTCTCGACCCCATTAATAGCATTCTCAACCTTGGGTATGATCTTTTTTCTTGGAACAAAAAGTTTTCTTTGCATATTTTGGTGTTATTAGTATTAGTTGCATTTCATTAAAAAAATTTGTTTTTCCTTGCTTTTTAGGAGCTGGGTTGATGGGTTGATGCCAATTAGGAGACATATGACATTATCTATTTTAACGGCTTACCTGTTGTTACTTTTTGTGCCCTGTAGAAGATTCATTTTAACATTGTGCTTTTGAAGTAGGATTGATAGTGACTAAAAGGCATTTATTTGAAGTGCTATCTGTTAGACTTGAAATTTATTACTTTGCTGTCTTTAGCTCTTAAAAGAGTTATTGAAGTCATAGAATCTGAACTCCTGTTAAGGGACTAAATTTTACACACTTGGGTATTATACATACCTTGCAATGTGATATCATGACCTGGGGGAAATAAATTGAGAAAAAGGGAACTAGCCTCTTTTAACTCTAGGAAACTTACAGGATTTGCGTCAACATCTGAAAAGCGTTCTGAAATGTGATATTAATTTGTAGAGCACTTCATAAAGAAAGTTAGAAAGACAACAAACGGGTGGATCCTTCCATCGAGAAGAAAAAGGATATATGTTTTTTATTGAACATTAAAAGGATGCTGATGGTATAGTTTTACTAACATTGAGTAGAATGTTATGCAAGTAAAGCCAGTTCTATTTTCATTCTCATCCATATATTCCTTCAATGTGCATGCTATGGCAATCCAGTTAACTTGTTTATTTTTTAGCTTGGAACTTGAGTAATAGTTTATATATTATCTATTTAAAAGAGTCAAATCTGGATATCAAATATGGAGATAGTAATAGGGAGAGCATGTGTAGATATATGGTCATGTTGGGAGGAAAACACCTTGAAGATAATTTAGTCAATTTTTTGCATTTGAAACAAGACAATGTGAATAGATGTTTGGACTGCATGTGGTAGACCTAGCCTCTACTTTGAAAGAATTTGGCCATCATTGCACATAGAGTTAAACGGAAGTACCAGTAGATATTAGTTTGCCTAAAAGTGGAACATGCAAGTTGCATCACCTTTGAGGAGGATCTGTTTGGGGTGTGAAATTGGGATCATTGTGATACTCTAGATTCCATGTTCAAACTAATCAGTGTTTTATGATTAAATATCTTTGTGTCCACGATCATTTCATCGTAGAAGTTTATATTACGAGTGTTAATTAGCATGGATCTCATGTGCCATATCTAGCCTTGATCCCATGTGGGTGGTCCTCTTGTGTACTGAATGGTATAAGTCAAGGTTTATGTTGGAGATAAATGGCACGTGGAGCCTTTCTATCTTTATATGCTTTTCGGCCTTCTATGTTTTATGTGCCTGAAACTCTTTTGTTACATTGCTGGGAATTGTAGTAGAATCTTCAATGCAAGTGTGATATTGCCCATTGCTTTAGCTCTCTAACATTGTTCATTTTGGAATCTTCAGGATTTGGATTCCCATTCTACTTGATAGAATTTCATGCAAAGTTTAGAGAATCTTGTTGCTGATTGATAGTCTACACTTTAGCACCTTTCCTTTAATTATATTCTTAGATTGTTGTGAAGGTGCATCTCTTTCACTAGTTTAAGGTAAAAAACCCTGAATAAGGATTAGTCTAAGGAAATTTTCTTATCTTGCTTCTTTACTTTTGAACAAGTACTGGCTTCCAAATGTCATAAACTTTCTATACTTTTTAAATTGTTGTTAACCTCTGTTTAAAGAAGTTCAGTTAAATTTCCATGTGGAATCCTAGTTAAAGAAGTAATTTTCACCATTGACCTAATTGATATTGAGATATGAATAGAGATAGATTATTCCTTATGTTTGATACTCCTACCATACTCAAAACTTTGTGACCAAAAGACTCAGTGGAGAAAATGTAAACATGTGTGGCCCAGTAGCATTTTCTTGGGATTCTTTTGGGTTTATCGGTGAACTCCAAAAATGACCCCGAGTTTACATTCATCATTGTCTTATGGTATGATGGTAAGCTTATGCTTGCTGTTTTTTAGTATTCTCTCTCATTCATGTTTATATTGATCCAAACACCCACCCTCACCTTATAGCAAGGACTCTTAAATGGTTTGATTTTGGCAAATGGATAATATGAAATTCTTCTGCCAAGTAGTTCACATATATGGGTAATCTACCTAATTCATACCCTCCACTTACTTATAAATTAGTAGATTGGGATTCTCTGTGGAGTCAATTATGATCCAGATTTACATGGTAAGCTACAAAAATCACCACGAGATTATATCCATGATCTTGTGTTTCTTACACTTACCTCTCTGAAAGTGCATGCTCATGATCCATGGATGCAATCTATTTCTTTTTTCTATTTTTTTGTGGGCGCTTTACCTTTTACATAATTGAAGTTTGGACTTTGTCGGTTTTAACAATTCTTTACAATGCTTTTGTAATGATTTTTCTGTCTGTTATGTTATTAGGGCCTGTGCTTGGGGGCAATGATTGGCATTTGTTACAATCCATTGATCAACTTGAAGGGCAGGCACTTCAAAGGAAAATGTTCGTGTGAAATTACTGTTCTGAAAGCTATTAACTTGGCCTCGTAAATCTTCTTTGAGATTGAATAAACACGCTGCCCAGTTCTTTGGTCTTTGTAGAAGGACACCAGTTTTAGTTGTCAACTGTCTCATATAGGACATTAATAGAGTGCAATTCACTGCTGTTGTGGCTTTGCGTCTCTTGAACTGTCTGATTTCTGGCTGCATGTTTGTAAATTTTCTTAACTGCTGCACATGTTTTAAGTCAGAGTCTTCTTCTCTTAATCAATGACCATCTATGCTAAAGCCTGACTTACTCCCTTTAGAGCTATATGGAATACTGCTTTATGATATTGACACCGGAAAGATGGAAAATCTAGACGAAGAATGATTACCTGAAATTCCAAGTTTAATATAGCAGGGACAACCATGGACACTTGGTAACTGGTACCGTTGGCACCCGAAGTTTGATTGTCATTCCTATGATTGGAAGACGTTGATATTTGTATGGGACATGATATTCAGGAGCTGCTTTTTATGGGGGTGCCTTGGTCAATTTGACATGGAAGTTTTGAACTGTGAGACAAGGTTGCAGCAAATCCATGTCTTCTAATTAGATGGTGAGCCGATGTAACTCCAAGTGCTGATGGTACAAGAAGTTACCACTGTTTTCAATCATGGTAAAACAAGAAGTTATGGACAATATCTTCTCATATGGGCGAACCAGCTCTAAGTCCAAGCCACTCTTCATTTGGGACCCAAGATGGGTTCACTTATGCGAGCAGGTGCTCTACCATCACATTAGTCATCTATGGAGCTATAAACAATTCTCTACATTTCATTTCTCTCGGCTACCCTTTGGAACTCTATCGTGTAAGAACTTTGTTCGCGGCATGATGCCGTGGCCAACAAGATCTGAACTAGCAAAATGATTCCCTTAGGCTTTTGTTTTTTCATTATCTATTTGCCGCATTTTCCTCGCAATTATCAAGCTCTTGGGATTTCCGCAAAGTGTATTCCTGACCTAGTCCATATTACCTGGTAAAACCTTTAAGGAGATTTTTTAAGAACCAATCATTAGCTCTTCATATGTTTTTAAATTGTTCTAGTATCCATCACCAGCCGCATTATTGCTCCTAATATTCCATTCTTAATCCACATATGTCCAGGACGGCTTGGAGAAGGCCAGAAGCTCGTATTATAGTTAAGAAACAGCCACCTGGAATGTAATGAATTCACAATGACAATGATGTACAAACAAACGTCGATGAGGTGAAATTCTTTTACTAATTGACAGTGAAAGGTGGGAGGATCATACTGGGATATTCTCGCAGAATATTTTCTTCTTTTCTCTTTTAGTATTCATGTTCTTCACTGGGGACAAAATTGACACATTATCCCCAACGCTGACCTAGCATGCCTCACTATAAAAGTGGGATTAATAGGTAGACAAACTATCAATGAAACACAGAACAAGAAAAATATGAATTATGAAAACTACGATCCCTCTCTCCCAGACCTACCAGTTGTTGACCAATACCTTCCCATATGGGCCAGCCTACCAGCCTTTAGGTCCAAACCAGCCTTCATTTGGCCTGAAGATGGCTCGACCAATGTAAGCAACGGCTCAACACTTACCTATGCTCAACTCAATGATTCAGTGCAGTCCATTTCTTTTCAGCTACTCCTTTCATTACAAAGAGGTGACACCGTAATCATTTTATGCTCACCTGGGCTAGAGCTTGTTGAGATCATTTTTGGGTGTCAAAGAGCTGGCCTTTTGAGCGTGCCCATATTCCCACCAGACCCTTCTTTTGGCCAAGAAAACTATCACCACCTAGTCAGAGTTCTCTCCCAGACAAAGCCAAAAGCTGCCATTGCTCACCATGATTATATCACAAGGGTTCAGCAATATCTCTCTTTGCCCTCTAAAGACAAGAGGCTTGCAGAGATGTTACAAAACATGAGGTGGACTTCTACTGGAGATGTCAAACATAAAAATTTAGATCCAAGAGTGGGTTGTATGTTTTATAATGGTTGCAAACCTGATGAAATTTACTTGATTCAATACACCTCAGGTGCAACAGGGATCCCAAAGCCAGTACTTCTGACAGCTGGATCAGCAGCTCACAATGTTAGGACAGCCAGGAAAGCTTATGATTTGCATCCAAATAGTGTTATTGTCTCTTGGTTACCTCAGTACCATGATTGTGGCCTAATGTTTCTGTTATTGACCATTGTCTCTGGTGCAACATGCGTGTTAACATCACCTGGAGCTTTTGTTAACCGGCCTAGGCTATGGCTCGAGCTAATTACAGAGTTCAAGGCCACTTGTACTCCAGTTCCATCATTCACCCTGCCACTAGTCGTGAAGCGTGGTGGAGTTGAAAAAGGAAGCTCACCTATTAATTTATGGAGCTTGAGAAATCTCATTATCATCAATGAGCCGATTTACAAGGCATCAGTTGAAGAATTTCTACTTGTGTTTAAGCCTTTTGGACTAAACTCATTGTCAATCTCTCCATCTTATGGCTTAGCAGAGAACTGCACATTTGTTTCCACAGCGTGGAGAAACAATGACAACTCTGGAAACTCCAGTTTACCTAATTTTCCTTCTCATAACAGGCTCTTACCAAGTGCACTACTTGCTAATGAAGAAGAAGAGGACATGCAAATTATAGTCGTAAATGAGGACACCCATGAGCCTGTTGAGGATGGAATTGAGGGTGAGATTTGGGTTTCATCTCCAAGCAATGCCTCTGGCTACCTAGGCCATCCTTCCTTAACTCAAGATATATTTAAAGGTAGATTGAGCAACAAGGTTAGCCGGTGTTATGTCCGAACAGGAGATAGAGGAATTGTGAAAGGGGAAGAAAGATTTCTCTTCGTGACAGGTCGTTGCCTTGACGTCATTAAGCTTACAAACGGTCAAGATATGCACCCTCATTACATAGAGACCGCAGCTTATAATAGTTGCCTACAGTTTATTAGAGGAGGTTGTCTCGCTGCATTCGATATTTCAAGAATGATCGTTCTTGTTGCAGAGATGCAGAGGAGTGAAAAAGATAATAAGATTTTGAGGAACATATGTCAAAGAATCAGAGAAGCTGTTTTGAATCAAGAAGAAGTCGAAATAGGGATGGTAGTTCTTGTAAAGAGTGGAAGTGTTCCGAAAACCACTTCAGGTAAAATTCAAAGATGGGCAGCTAAGGACAATTTTCTAAGAGGTAAAATGAATATTTTAATGGACATGAAGTTTGATAACAATGGGGGATTATTACCATGCCCCAGTGTAATGATACTTGCACGTAATGGAAGAGGTAGAGAAGATGAAGAGGGAAGAGCCGTGACAGCTGAAGAGAAAGATGAGGTTCTTTTTTCACACTCAAGTGCTTCAATTGGTCGCCCATGGCTGTCTCGATTGTGAGATCTACGACAAGGATGTTATGCTTTGCTTGTGCTCCAAAATAGTGTAAAAAAGAAATGTGCTTTAGGCCCTTTTGCATCCTTTTCGTTGAGATCGTCGACAAGGGAGAGAATTAAGGCGTGAATAATAGTATCTATGGTCTGTGTAATAAAAATATACATATATTTATCATTGCTAATTGTAGTCGATATTCCAGCATCTAAGTTATGATAGAAATGGATGAATCTGACGTCTGAAAACAGCTTCTGTAAATCATCATTAAAAGGAACAACTCCTTTGTACGATTCTCAAATTTGCATTCCAAATCTCAACTAGATGTAGTTCAACTTCTAATATAGAATAAATAAATTATTATAGGCAAGTGATTAAGTGGCAACTCTTGGCCTGTAAGCAGGAGCATATATAACATGAAGCAAAGTTTTAGATTAAAACATACCCTGAAGATCAGTCATCAAGAAACTGGCAATTAGCTGTTGTAATAAGCTCTAGAAACAATGGGAAGAACCGACGGCTATACTAGACTAAGGCTTCATTTGGTTTCAACCGTACCTCCAGTGAGGTATAGTTACTAACCAAATTTGTACTCATTGATGTTTAATATCCGTTTGGACATCAAAGCTTCCTCACGTTTATCTGCTTTTCTTTATTGGAGGATTTAGCTCCAGTTAAAAAAATGCATTGGACTTTATATATTTTTTTTTTATCTTTCATTTTATATTACAAAGATAAAATTATCTTTATACTTTAACTTTTTATTTTTTTAAAAAAAATTATAAAATAAATTTCTTAATTTATTATAATAAGTTTTATTTATTAATAATAAATTAATAAAGAATATAAAATTTTAATTAATTTTATAAATATTAAATAATTTAAATTTTTTGTTAATATAAGTTTTATTCAAATATCTTTAATAGTCATTTTTTCTTTTCACTTCATCGTCATCACTGTTTTTACATTCAAATAGTTATTTTATCACTGATTTTAATCTTACTGTTACAATATTTAATCTTATTGCTATAGTTACTAATCTTATTTGTACAATTATTTTCAATTTTACTAAAATCAATCTCATCTTCCATCCAAATGAATCATAAGTTGGGGATTTGGATTCTACCACACTAACCTCACATTAATTGTAGTGCAATTGAGCTCATCGTATCACCTATTGAATCCGAATATTAACTCGAATAAGATTGATCTAACATAAATTTTTTATGAAATTTTTTTCAATTACAGTTATGATAATTTTTATTATTATTTTTAATCTTATTAAAATTAATCTTACCATCTATTTAAATGGATAGAGGACAAGCTATGAATACACAAGTCTTATAGATTATTTACACATATAACAAACACAAGAAACCAAAAGAGGTTGCTGCGTCAGCCCGGCCCATTTTTGCTGGGTCAGAGTAACTAGGTCTACCAGGACCAGCAGTGGGGGTCTAACTGAAAGTATATCCTAGTTATTAGTGATAAAGAGCAATTTTACCGGTCTTGAATTTTATCACTGTATTTTGATTTGATTGGATTTTGTTTTTATATTTTTAATTTTGGTTGAATTTTGTCATTATATTATCATTTTTTTTATTGATTTTTGAACCAAAATTAACAGAAATGAAACTAATATAACCAAAATTATCTTTGCATCATCATATTTATTTTTCTGAAAATTGCGCTTTCAGAAGAAAAATAAAACACCACACTTATCTTTCTTGCCCTAATCATGAAAGAGTATGGAAGAAAAAAATTATTTTTTTTTTCATTTTTTCCTTCTATTGATTGAAAGGAAATAAGAGGAGAAAAATAAAACTACTAGATTTGTATTTTTTTCTTCAAATTCAATTATTCCAAGTATGAAAGAAAAACACTTACTTAACTTAATTTAATTTCTTTTCCTATGCTCTCCACCCCCAATGTTTTTTTTTTAGGATTAGGAGTCAAATATGAACGCAACATAACAGGATCTATGTTCAGATCAGCGACGAGGTTCTTGAGGCCTGATTCAACTTTGCAATTAATGTAGGTATAAGCAAATTGTTGACTAACTCGAGTCATTGGCTCATGGCTGTACTATTTAGAAGAAATAATCATTCCAATCAATTAATTTTATTAATGAAGGAACCAATAAAAAATTATAACTACTATTATATTATTAAGGGAAAAAAGAATTTTATGATTTATTTGTAATCAAAAGTATTTAAACTTCACTGTATAAAAAATAAGCTTGGATTACTTGTTAAAAACACTGTTGGTTAATCAAGTTAAAAGAAAAATTTTGCTAGCAATTACCTTAAAAACATTGTTTAAAGTTGTTTTATTAAGTTTGCGCTTTTTTTTTTTTTTGGAACAAACATAATTTTTTTAAAATAGTACATTGAATTAAAATTTTAAAAAAAATTTCAGAAAATTTAACACTTAAAATTTACAAATTTTTGAAAATTTTATTTTATTTTTTTATTTTTAAAAATAATGGTCAAATTTGATTAATTTGATTAAAAAAATTAATTTTGAGACAAAAAAAGGTAATATTTTTCTCAATGTTTTAAACTTGATCAAATTGACCCTGAAACATTGCATTTTAACACAAAAAATATTATTATAACCAGCAGTTTAAGTAACTTAAAAGAAAGATGAATTTGTTTTACTCTTTGTACACATTTTATGAATGCACATTTTCCGAATATGATGAAAGCTTATGTTAACCTGCATGGCAACATTGGCTTAAAATACTATAAAAGAGTGACTCTTCTGCTAAAGCTTGCCAAAGAAAGCTACAAGCAGTTCAAAATATGGGTGGATGGGGGGAGTGAGTGAGTGAGTGACAAGAGTAGACATAAATGAAGGAGCTGGAGGGGTGATTGAATTGGGAAATTATGATATGATATGAAGCATAAGGGGAAATTTTCAGACTGGTAAAGCGGCTGACGTGATGAAACAAATATGTGATAAAAGTCCTGGTGAGGATTCTTGAGTTGGAAATGCCATTGGTTGAAGCTGTACTGCACCCCAAAAAAAAAAAAAGAACAGTGATCAGCAACCAAGTACCTAAGCAAACAACGTGGAAAAGTGCAGAGAGACAAATAAAGCCTTCGGTTGCATCACGGAAAGGTAAAGACATTGCTTGGGGGCAGGTGTGGTGTTGCCAGAGAGTTGCAGAATGCGCACATTAGGCTTTGATGCTTCAGATCCATACACTCAGCAACAGGACAACAACTCCACTGTGGACCATCCCTAATTTTCTCTTTTTTCACTTTTTCACTCCATTCTTACTCTTTTCTATTTTGAGTTTTGAAGATCTGTAGCAGTTTTTAAAGATCTTTCTTTAGCCTGTAATGGAGTCTTTATTAGTATATGGAAACCTTTTTTATTAAGAAAAGTTGAGGTTTATGGCAGAAGCAAAGCTACGTCGCATCAGAGCCAAGAGTACTACAACTTATCTGCTTGGTCATTTTGGGGAGATGCGGGTCTAGTGGATTAAAACTTGAGATAAGAAAATAGGGAGGGGAGGGGCAATAATGAAGGGTAAGAGTGGGACCCAAACGTGGCAGGGCGTGGGAGGGGGATGAACATGACATTGTCGGTTGTTTTGTACAGAGAAAGACCCCTTAATCTCATCAGAATCTCTTTCTTCTTTTTGTTTTTCTATCTCTAGAGATTGACTGTTATCTTTCCGGCCTCACCACAAGCAACCAAACTGTCTCGTGTTGGATATGTAGTTGGCTTGTTGGAAGCACAGAAGCACACAAATCCTTTTCCTAAAACTCAAATCCAAACCCCAAAACCTCAAAAACCCAAACGCAAATCTATTTCCTCTTTTCTTTCTTGCTAATCACAGATGTTTTAGGCCCCTTGATGGTGTGCTAAAGGCGCAAAAGCTGGTGGCCTGTTCCTGCTGCCGTTAGCTGTTGTTTGCTGCTGTTTGCTGCTGTTTGCTCATCTCTTTCTCTCTCTTGTTTAGGTCTGTGAGTTTGGTCCCATTTCAACTTTAATGTATTTGTTATTTGAGGGTTAGTTCTCATATCTTTTCGTTACCATAACAACTCTCTCTCAGTCTCTCTCTTCTTTTATCTCAGCTTACGGATCGTGTAACGGTTGAAATTAGCGGTATGGGTCGGTGGATTTTGGCAGCATAATGCTGAATGTCGAGAGGATAGGGGAAAGCAACAAGATATATAAGCAACTTGCATCATCTCTTTTGAAACGTTTCAAGTTTTCAAGCTACGCACTAAAGCACCGAAAAAGATTCAAGATTAGTTGAATAGTGAGCTTCGTTTAGCTTGCATAAAAAGATCATAAAAAGTTTTCTTTTTTCATCAATTACCTCTTAAATTATGGAAGTTAGAGGTCAAGAACACGATGTTAAAACGCCAGGTTCTTCAGGCTTTGGTCATCACTCGCCTGGAGTAGAGAGGAGAGATGGGAATCATAACGGTATTTCTGTTCTAACTTGCACTCAAACCCTAGATCATGTTCATCGCCTGCAGAGACCGCAATCACTTGGCCAAGGAAGATCTGCCCACCCAGATCGGGTCACTGCCAGTGGTGCAGCTGTTACACCCGTTTCAATTAGTTCAAACACAAAGCCATCAAGCGTCATCAGATATCGAGAGTGTCTCAAGAACCACGCAGCCAGCATCGGTGGAAACGTTTACGATGGCTGTGGTGAGTTCATGCCTAGTGGAGAAGAAGGAACTCTCGAGGCCTTGAAATGTGCTGCCTGTGACTGTCACCGCAATTTCCACCGCAAAGAGGTTAATGGAGAGACCCAATTCGGGGCTAATTCCAGTAGAAGAAGCTTGATGCTTAACCCTCTTCAGTTGCCTCCACCGTTGCCATCTCCAACCATGCTGCACCACCATCAAAAGTATTCAGTTCATGCAAGTCCTTCAAGTGCAATGATTGCACCAATGAATGTGGCCTTTGGCAGTGGCGGTGGGACCGAGTCTTCAAGCGAGGATCTTAATGTATTCCAGTCTAACGCTGAGGGAATACAGCCGCCGCCTCCATATGTTTTGTCAAAGAAGAGGTTCAGGACAAAATTTACGCAGGAGCAGAAGGATAAGATGTTGGAGTTTGCGGAGAAATTGGGTTGGAGGATCAATAAACAAGATGAGGAAGAAGTGGAGAAGGTTTGTGCTGAGGTTGGGGTGAAAAGGCAGGTTTTCAAGGTTTGGATGCACAATAACAAGAATGTGAAGAAGCAGCCACATGAATAAGAGCTCCTCATGGTTGCTAAACTAGTAGAATGACCTGTGAGATATGTATAGGAGAGGCTGCCTGGAATATTAATCAGACCCTTTAGAGTGAGGAGGGAGCTGGCCTTGGTCTTGAATATTTGTATAATTCTTCATTGTAAGCCTTGGGTGTGATCTCTTGGCATTGAGCACTTGTTCCAAAAAAAAAAAAAAAAATCTTGTATTAATTGTTACTCTTTAAATTATGGCAGTGTCTTTCTCATCATTTCTCTTCCTTATTATTTCTGAAAAAACTGTCAGAAAATGATATATGAAATGGGCAATTGGGCATATGGTATCTCGTTCTTCATGTTTAATGCTGATTGAAATGGTGAATTCCTTGCATGCGGGCTGTGTTGTGCAATTGTTCCATTGTATCAAGAGGGTGTATTAGTTCTAGCTAGTCTGAGTGCAGGTTTTGAAAAAAAATATATATCGAATAAATTTCACTAAATTTTTTTATAATTTTTTAATTACAATTATAATTATTATTATTTTTAATCTCAACAAAACCAAATGTACCCTTATTCTGGCCTAATCAATCAAACTAACTTGACTAGGGTCATGTGGCTTGCTCAAATTTTTTCACCGTTCTGTCGCGGGCCAATATAAGCCTTGCCTTGATCTTTTATCTTTCATATGAACCTGCCTGATTATACAAAAATCTCTTGGCATTTTTGTTTGGGCTTCGAACTAGCTCTTGGTTCAACTTTCAACAAAAATCACAACATCAATTTCACCCCAAATCAAAAAAGGTGCCATGGAATTGAGCAATACGCCCCGACATTGTGGTCCGACAAGTTGAAATTCGGTGGCATGTTCAAACAGCAAACAAAGAATAAAATAATTTGCTCTCACCGTAAGTTTTCTCCATCAGGTTTAATTTGATACTAATTCTGAAGTTTATAATTTTGATTTCGGATTTGATTTGATTTGACTTGATTATGACCCTCCTAATACCCTCTCATGCAAACCCTACAAGCTTAAGGCAGCGCATGGATATGATTGAGATCCTGTTTCAGTGCACATGTCTTTATTTAGTGCAATTGCATCGTGACCAGTCGTTCCGATGCCAATGATACCAGCGTGATTGGGAAAAAATTTTTCACCCATGGGAAGGAGATTTGACGAGATTTTTCATCTTTTTTTTTATTTTTTATAAAAGATCCTACTTTTTTTTACTTCTAAAATTATAGTGCACTCAAGCTTTTATAGGTTCATTTTGTTCATCTTTTTATTTTTAAAATTTTTATTTTGAATTAAAAATAATTATTATTTTGATATACAAAATAATAATTATCTTTTAAATTATCATCAATTAGTGTAAATATTTATTTAGCAAATTTTTTAAAAAATAATTTGAAATATTATATCATTTTTATTAATTTTTAATTATTTATTAACTAAATTGTTATTTGATATAAAAATACTTTTAATTTTTAATAATTTATTAATTCTTATAAGTGAAATAATTAAAATTTTATATTTTACATAAATTTAAATTTAATTTTCTTAATTATAATATTTTCACTATATTCTATCTAAAGATATAATTCATTATTAACTTAAATTTTACTGTTATAAGGATACTAATGCATCGAAATCCTTTTCTTATTGCTAGGCTTGTGAGATGTACATATGATCACGATGACATACAGGAAGTGGAAAAAAAATGACTTCATATCCATCAAATTAGAAAACGAAAATAGTATTCTAAATAATATTCCAATTTCTTGCCAATATTGTTACATTGGAGTAATTATTCCAACCAGAGACGGTTGAAGTCTGCAGAAAACAGCAGACATGAAAAAATTCTGCAAACCAAAAATATTAATGTTCGAGAACCAAAAGGACATGTTACCCCAAATATAAGAGTAATATGCTTTGCTATTTTGGTGAACATATCCCATCTTAATCGATGGGTACAGTGGCAGGTTCGGGTCCAAAAGACGTTAGTATATTGGTGCAGGTGCCGGTCCGTTTTCTGGTGCCGATGCCGATGACATTGATTCCTTAGGAGACAGCAAGCCAAAACCCCTGAACATAACAGCAAAAACCAGTGATGACAAAACCAAGAAAGCAATACCAAATGAGTATTTAATTACTAAATTAAATAGGATTATCAATTGGTAAAATAATTTTTTACCTGAGCTTGTCCTTCGCCTAGTCAGTCCACGACCAGCTGGTCTCCTTCACACTCTCCTCGGCATTTCCTGCCGAAATTGACAAGGTCTGGGCGGCATCTTTAAACGCTGAAGAAACCTTGTTTATCTGTTCCGGGGAAAAGATGTCTTCTCCCACCACGGACTGGATAGATAGAACCAGGGCCAATGAGAATACAAGAAGCAAAGCAATCTTTACCATCTTTTCGTTCTTTTTATAAGTTCAAGCTTGAAAAAAAAAAAAAAACCTTATGAAATTTTTTAAAAAACAAAGCAAATGTGAATGTGAGTGCTTAAGGATTTTAATCTGGGTGAAATATATAGTGTTTGGGAGGAAACATTTGCGGCGAATCCAGGGCCTGGTGACTGCTGGGGCACCCAAATGGCCAAACACGAGTAAGGAGATAGCTTTTCTCAACATTTTCAACGGTCGCGTCTTCCGCGGTTAATTAGTGATTTTCATTTTCTTTTCTTTGTTTAGTACATGATGGTCTCCGAGAGTCCGAGCCATTGTAACTCTGCATCTACACCCCATACAGGCTGCCTTATTCGTGCAAAGAAAATTCGATAATTTATTTGGACCAAATAAGATTATATGTTAGCGAATTATTTGTTTTTGACTTGTAAAATATATTAAAACCAAATTAGTTGTCATTAACTACACTTTACTTGAAAAAAATAAAAATTATTTTATATTTAAAAAAGTAGATGGAATTGTTCTTACAATTTTAATTATGATATTGTTTTGGTGATATTTTAGGATATATTAGTTTCACACTTCTAATATATATATATATATATATATATATATATATATTTATTTCACTCATATTTATTTATCTTGATTTTTACCGAGTTTAAGAAAAAAATTTTAATTTAATATATTTAATATTAAAATTATTTTTTTATATAATTTTTAATGTTAAAAAGTTAAAAAATTCATAAAAAATAATTTTAAAATTTAAAAAAGTCAGAATTTTAAATGTTAAAAAAATAATAAAACATATTTTTGGGACATCCAAAAAAAAAAAAAAGATAAACAAAAAATGAAACAGAGAAAGTAACACATTTGAAATCCAAAAACCCAAATCTTTCAAAGGAAAGTGGTTCCAAACTCTTGATTGACTTTTATTATTTATAAATATGAAAAATTAGGTGAGCTTTAGAAATTAGGTTAGCTCTTATTTTGTCAAGTATGAGTTGAAATGTTTACATAAAATTAGAAAACGACATGTCTTTCAAAATCTTATGATGACATTGTTGATAATTAAGTTTTGTCTTTTTAAATTGGTGACACTTTTTAAAAATATTAAGTTTTGTTGACCATAAGCCCTAATATAGTTAACATCGTAAAAATATTATCTCATTCCAATATGTTACACTTTTTTTTTTTTAAATTATTACTTCTAAATGTCATTTTATATGTTTTATTAAAATGATAAATTTAAATGGTTCATCAAAGATGAAAATCATTTAATCATGCTAGAGTAAATGGGGATGTAGCTCAGATGGTAGAGCGCTCGCTTAGCATGCGAGAGGTACGGGGATCGATACCCCGCATCTCCATATTTTTAATCGACGACGCATTTTCCATTTTCGAATTCTTTATATTTCCCGCCTTTCCATCTGCCTTAAAACCACGCCGATTCGCTTCTCTATTTCGTTTCTTTGATTTTTAGTCTCTTTCATTCCCTCACAAAACCAATAGCTCCTTATTTCCCTTTTTCCCAGATCCCTCATTCTGTTAATTATAATCGAGATTTTCAGTTAATTTCTTGATTGGCTCCATCTCCTCAGATTCAGAGTGCAAATTTGGAAGGCTGGAATTCAAAAAAGGTCAGGTGTTAAGCTTCTTTTCCATTGCCGTTATTTGATTTGATAATGATAATGACAAAATTTTGTGTTTTATGTTTTAAATCCCATGCGATTACGAAACAAGAATCGAAATCTAATTTATGCTTGATGAACAACCGTTCCCCTGTTCTTAATGGTGAAAAAGAAAAGGAAAACTGATTGGTTCCTTCAATGTTTGTGATAAAGAAGCATGATTATTTCTTTATTTTTATTTTGTTTTTTTTAAATGGATCCTGTGCTGATCTCTTCAGTCTTAGCTACGTAATCTTTATCCAAAAATTTAAATATTATTTTCTACTTTTTTTTTTAATTTTTATTTTCCTCTTAATCGGGTGATTCGTTTATTGTATTTCTCTGGAAAAAATTAACAAAGAAGGTGAAGAGATCATTGATTTTAACAGACAAAACACAGAATATTTAGGTAATATTTAATGCATAAAATGATAATTATAATAAGATGAAAATTATTTTATATTATATTTGATTTGTCTATAAAAAAAAGGATAGTATTGCAAAAAAAGTTAATTATATTGTTGATATAAAATTATTCAATCTTTTCAAAATGAAAATGATTATATTTAATTCATGATATTGAATTTTTATGTTTTATTATATTTTTAAAAATTATATTAATAATTTAAATTTAATCAATAAATAAATTATATTATTTTAATTTTTACATATATCAAATAAAAGATAATATGATATTTTTTAATCTAATTTTTTTCGCAATATCATATTATTTTAATGTATTATAATCTTGTATATCAAATACATATTTAAATAGTAATATTTTTATTTGAAACTAGAAAATCCAGTACAATACTTACAAGCTTAGTAATTATAGAGTTCAATTTTTTGTTATATTAACAAAAGAACTCGATGTAGCATGCACACTTAAAAAGAGCCAAATTAAGATAGGGAGAATCACGATTCACATTCTCGACTTTTTTTTTTTTTTTAGGTTTTTACAGATCCTCTGGCAATGCAGCCGAAACTTGTTCTTCATTGGAGCTTCAGGTTCTTCAGAAAACCTGGGAAGGATTTGAAAGTACAAAGAGCATTAGAGTAATTAAAAATTGGATTATTATAAGAGGAAGAACATGTGCAAATGCCCATCTATGTTCGCTGAAGCATTGAACATTAGTTTCATGATCCAAGAAAAACCAGTGTCATAAGAGTCAAGTCTAGCGATTACTAATGATGGGTTATGGAGGAATTTGGAATTGAAAAAAAAGAGTTACGTCAGACATGATATGAGTGGCATCGATTTCATTATTTATTTTATGATATTGGGTTCAATGCTCTCGAATTAAATATAGGACCATGTGCATGTGTGCTAAAGAAAAGAGGATTAGATTTCATGTGGGCTTTTTGTTAGTAAGTTGAAATAGGGTATGGATAGAGTACTATAGAAAATAATATAAAGTAATAAAAAAATTTTTGTGGGGAGATAGGTATCGGTGTTTGGTTTGAACTCTAGCTAACAGAAAAGGAAAGGTGAGTGCATGACATGTTAGAGGAAACATGGATGATTACAACCGTTTTAAAACATGGATGATCACATTTTTTTTAATATGATTTTGAACAACATACCATGAATCCTAGCTAGGTACGAACACTGGATAACATTGTTTAAATGATTTCCAATGTAACCAAAAAAGGGAGAGGGTTACATAATTATTTGGGAAGGAAGGCAAAAGAAATCCCTTATATAGTTTCTATTATATGATGCATTTTGGAGCTTGAGGGTACGTCCATGTTTCATGTTAGGAGTGTCCTATAGAAACTAAGGTTTTTTTGACTGCTCATCAACATGGTGAATCATAACCTTTTGGAAGAGTTGAATACATGGAAGTTTTCTCAAGTTTTTCAGATTTCTATTGGCTTCGTGAAGACCTAGGTTCCATGCCCTGCCTCGTCCTTGTCATCAGTTGATGGCATTTGGCATTTAACAAGAAATCCTAAGAAAGAAGGCTCTTTGAAGATTGTGGTTTTGCTAGTTTATTGATAGAGAATAGTATGTTGAGCCAGAAAATAGAGTTGCATGAGTAATAGTTTTCAAGTGGAAATGACTCAAAGATGTAGAAATGAGAATTAAGTTTGCAAATGGGAGATAGCTACTAATACTCTACCTTTGCTCACCTTTGCTCACCAGCAATTCATCTTCTGTTACTCCCAGTGCTTTTGTAATTGGGTATAGGGATTTGACCAGATTCAATATGCATGAGATCCGTCACGAGGATCTCATAGTGCTGTCTTACTTCCTCGGCTGATTTGCCTCCCACAGCAGCGGCCACTTTGTGCCAGCGGTCTGGAGTGTCCTTGTCATATACAGCAAGTGCCTTTTCAAATAGCTTGTTTTGCTTTGGAGTCCAGTAGGATTTAGAATCACGTGAAGAAGTCGTAGAGCTTGATTCCATTACTACTTTGGGGCCGGATGAATGAAAACAAAGAGGAATATGATAAAGCTTGGATGAGTTGGATGTGAAGATGAACAAAAGTTGGAGAAGAGGAATGTTTGTCTTTGGATATGAGATTGCCAACAAAAGAGAAAGAAGCTAGGAAGGAAAAAGAGATTGCTGCCTCAGTCAAAGGAGAAGACTGAAGTCAAGGGCTGGTATGGGTAAGAAATTGCAATTCTCACTACTTATAAGGAGCAACGGCGGTGGAGTTGTGCAAGTTGGCCAATATATATATATATATTGGCTACAACAAGATGCGATTCGCTTGCCGAAGCAAGGCTTTGATGGACAAGAATCAGTGTCAGAAAACTAACTCTTTACAAAAGTCTTATTCTTGTCTTTTAAAATCTCATCAACACCAAGTTGATTTCTTTGAGAATTTATCAGATGGTGGGGATTAGATCCCAAAAAAAGTCTATCCATTAGCATAGATGCTCCAACAATCTGACCCTTAACCCTTCTTTCGAGACCCGCAAAATATACAGTAAGATATTCTGCCATTTTTTGAGTGGGAAGACAGGATTGTGATTTCTTCCCTCTCTTATTTGCCAACTTGGTAAAATATACTCCATTTACAAGGTACTCTTATTTATGTTTTATTCTTCTTTTCTCAAAATATTATCGAGAAAAATATTGCTAATAGCGGCGATCTGATGGTAAATGTCACCTGATACTAGCTGAGAATGGTAAGGATGAAAGGGGCTGTGATTCAATTTGACGGTCTGATCAGAAGCTCCTGTAGCAGGATCGTGAACTTCATAGATGGCAAAGGATGATTCGCTTCTCTCATTTTCGATTGTGTCTCGTATCTTTTAAACACTTGATTAACGTCTCTCCAATTGCTAAAGACAGCTGGGACCTCATGATTTTTGGACTTTGGGCAGTGTGGCTGGTCAAGTTGATTCTTGAATTTAGTGCATCATTGATGCGGGAACTTGGAATATGGAGATTTGGCTTCTGAACAACATTCCATAGCTTTTTCCCGCCCGGCAGTTTGCTGAATAGTCTTTGTCTTCCTACTGCTAAATTTCAACAGGTCTACCTCTTTTACAGGATCCTGTGTCAGTTTTTGAGTAGGAGTGGCAGCTTACTTCCTGCCATGTTGCTCTGCCTTCACTACCTTTCTCTCTTTCTTTTCAACGGAGTTCTATAATTAATTTAATTAGTCTAGCGTTGTTGTTTTCATTAAAAAAAAAATTAGAATTGAAAAATTGTATTTAAAAAGCATCATAAAAAATGTGATTAAAAATTATAAATGTTTGAAATAAGTATGAAAAAAAGAAGATTTGTATACAAAAATAAAATATTAAAAATATGGAGATAACTAGGATGTTATAATGCGATTTAAATTTGAAAAATTAAAATTTTAAATTAAAAAGTCACATTTTTTATTTTTTAATATTGCGGTTGAATTAAAAATATAAAAGAATTTATAATCATAATCAATCATTGAATAATCAAGAACTTAAAATTTAACTAAACAAATTTCACTTGAAATTGAATTAAATTCATGCACAATAAAATTTGAATTTAAAACCTTAAAATTTTTTAATCTTCTTTTTCATCATTAAGCTAAAGTTTCATTTGATGAATCAAAACTAATTTTTTAATAATAATAGACTGTTAAAATTGTATAGAGTTTTTAAGTTGGCTAATATCTTAAACGAGTTACAAGATAGTTCTTTGTTTCGTCGAAGAAAGACTTTTCTCGGTAATAAAAGACTTGCACGACTTACTACGACAATTCTTTGTTTCGTCAACTCTTGCCATATGAGTAAACGGTTCTTTGGGAAAATGTGGTCAGATATAGCCAGAACAATCAAATCAACTCATTGAAAGATCAATGAGTGATTCAATTTTGCTTATTTCCATTCGTTTTTTCTAGTTTTGGTGAATCAAGCAAGATGTGGAAGATTTAATTAAAACGTTATAATGGTTTCCATTACAGAATATAATGATAGCATTATTAATATCTGTTTAGGAAAACATAGAAATGAGTATTACTGGGGATCTCATCTAAAAGAACAATTTAATGGCTAACATAACTATTTTGAACCTTTTATCTTAAAATTTATTTTTTGGGGGTAAATATTTTCATTTTACATTGTTGGATGTCGAAAGGGGGGGGGGGGATATTTAGAAAAGTTGCTTGGTTCTTAACTTTATATTGGCCATATGCAGTCAGAGGAGGGGCATGACATAACGGCGTAAATGCGCTAGAAATCCACAACAAGATACTCCATATCTTTTGATATTTACAATCCTTATCATCTCAAATTCTCAGGTCTCCTCAGGCGAAAGTTATGCCAGTGGGTTCCTTTCCAGTTTCCTTGTGGAAAACGTCGCCTTGTGGTCCTTTCTTATGATTGGAGCTGTTAAATTTGTGTGGGTTCATAAGATCAAATGGATTTGCCTTTGCCCCAAAGCATATTCCAAAGTCTAACTATTGGCTTTTCTGGTAGCTTTTTCGGATATTGAATGCCACAGCAAAGATCAAAACCTTTTAAGCCCCTGGAGGAGTCTACTCCACTGATATACCATCCACTCGTTTTGGTATTAAAGACGTGAGGACCACTCTTAGAGGGAATCTTTGAGTAAAGCAAGGAAAAGTATTTTTGAAAACTTATTTTTCATGTCGTTGGAAGAAAGTGGAAAAAGTGTGTCAGCTCATGGTATGTTATCATGAGCAGGCTTGATGTTCGTGCCGCAACCAATGGAGTTGAATTGTAAAATCTTGTAGCTTGAAGTGTACAGGCTTTTTGTCGTGTTGATATAGATTAAATTATTTGGCTACCAAATAAAGTTCTTCATCGAATGGCTTGGCCTTGGTTTTTATTCTGATAGAGAAGATATGGGCATAGGTCAGAGATTTGTGAGTAGTTGAACTTTTAGTGTTGTTCCTCAATGATGAATACGAGAAAGATTCTGAAGTGCCTTTCTTCTTTCTATGTTTTTCTGGTGTAACGGTAGATTTAGGAATTTTTTTTTTAGTGTCCACTTATATAATATGTCATAAACACTTCACCTTCAAACATGGATCTGCAGCTGCCTCCTTGGCCACCAAATCCTCCGTTTTGAAACAAAGAGGTTAAAATCCTTGCTTGGGAGCTTATAGTGGCAGTAGTCACCAAGGAACTACAAAGTATTTCTGTTGGCATTGATCCTCTAATGTTAAATTTTTCTATAACTTTGCTCATTGGCTCCTTCCATTGATGTCCGAGTAAACCAGCATTATAGATGGATTCAATTACAATACTCGAAAGGACTACGCCTGTGATATTTCTAGTGAGCAAACAGCAATTTCGGATTGTCTATTGGCAATCAGCACGTTATGCAACTGCTTATCGTGCGGTTTACGACCAAATAATAATAAAATATCAATTGAAAATTACATGAATTGCAATTCTTCAAATTTCCTTTGTTTCAAAGTAGCAATAACGTGGATTGGTTAAGAATATATTAATTTGTTTTCATTCCAAGTCCACTATAGGGTCGTCGAGATGTTCTATAGTCTTTTTGTTTATTGGTTATTGTTTCAAATATCGTGTTTTGCATATCAGTCTACCACCTAGCCTAGTTGCATAAGTCGATTTGACACCCAGCTTGTTTCGTGGCCGTTTTCCTTGGCGGCTGGCGCACGCCTAAGAAACTAAACTAATACGAGTACTTGTCCAAAGGTTGTACATGCTGCTCTTACTACTGTTGACCGTGGACTTTGTTTTTCAGGAAAGTCAGGTTTACTTCTTCTGCAAATTTACTTTACCATGTAATAAGGTTTCAATTGGATCATAGATTCAGGGTGCTAATATCATAAATGGCAGAAGAAATTGGTTTTTTGTTCCAAAACAGGTAATATAAACAAAGCTTCCAAAGGGAAAGAAGATGGTGATATAGAGTTGGTGGAATCAACCTGCATTTATTTTTAACCTTCTTTCTTTACCATTTTGGAAGAAGTTAGCCCGCTGATGCGGGCATTTGGAGGGCTTTTAAACAGCCAAAAGGTACGTGCATAGCCCCCTCTCTCTCTTTCTTTGTGGTCCTTAAGCCTTGAAGCTTTCTTGTGGAAATGTGTTTGAGTGTGACCAATGAATACTTAAATTTAACTCTGGTTTTTCCTCCGGAAGACAGAGACAATTTTCCTCATAAATCCTCTCCTCGCTAATATATTATTGTATGTAAACGGTTCAACCGAAACGGCCATGTGGTATTGTTAGATTATTTTTTCATTGTGATTACTTTCCTTTAATAGGATCTTTTAACCTTATAGCTCTTCTCTTGGGCAACTAAAAATTAAGTTGGTATTTCAACTGTGTTATATAACAAGCGGAACTTCTTGAAGTTAGGAAGCTGACTATGCAACTTATGCGCTGTTCGTTCTGATATTTCTATATTGGGTCTTCTATAGTGATCGTGCTGAGTTTTTGCCAGAAGAGTAACTGGGTAAGTTTTCTTTTTAATTATATTTAAACTATAACGTTCAACTTGCAAAAAGTGCCGACCTACTGAAATATATAGAATTCAAACTGATATGAACATCCATATCATAGATACTGTTTGCTTGATTTTCAAGTTCCAGACATCTTGCTTTTGCAATGAATTTTAGCCCCTGCTTGTGGCTTTATTTTAGTTTCACCTAAGAGTCACAATCTTTACTTGGTTGCACATAGAGATCTGTTGAAATCATTACAATTATTGCTGCCCGAATTTTGTTGCTCTGATAATTAGACTTGTTTTGCTGATTTGTCACTGTCTTTTTATGAGGGAGCAAAAAATTACCTTAGTTTGCTTTCACGATTACAACTTTTGACTTCATAGGAATTTTTGTAATGTTTCTCGGAGGAGCCTTTTGTAGTCAGTATTTCAACTAGAAGGAACTTAAACAAGAAAGATTTATACACTTAAGGAACCATTCTGCATATGTAATGCTCCTATAGCTTGATTGATTCTTTTTATCTGTTTATTTGATTTGCTGCATAACCATCCTCTGGTCTTGATTCTTTCGACTTATATTTTACTTGATAGACTCTACAATGTTGGTGAAATAATTGGTGGAAATATTCATGTAACTGTAATTCAAATTTCTACTGATGTATTCTGCAAATATAACCATTTGAGGACTCAAATTGATTTGGTCAATTTGCAGAGTGAAGATACTTTTATAATATGGAACTTGGTGCTGCTGTGAGTGTTGAACTTCCATATTACAACACCATTAAGGTAAATGTCAACTGGTTTATCCATCTTTTGGACCATATTTCTTTGACATACTTTTCCAAGAAGAATCGGGGGTTTAATATAGTCTGAGTGATTTCATTGAAAATTCTAGAGCACATCTTAGTTGAATCTAAGAGCGAAACGTAGGTTACTTTGTAAGAAAAGGCATTGGGTTATTCATATCCAATTTGTTTGACCTTTATGAAAAACATCTAGTCTTCTTCACTTTAGCATAATTGAATCGCACTGAGATTTTCTTAACACCCTTCACAGCATTATTGGAACTCTATCTTGTTGTTTTATTGAATTTCTAGCTGAACGGAAGGTTTCATTTTGGCTTTAAGAAATTTTGGGCTGCCTTCAGAATTAGGTATACATAAATTTGACTTCTGTTTTTGTCAAAAAAAAAAAAAAAACTTTGGTGGACATTGTTTCAATCCAGTGGTTACATTTTTTTTCCTTACGAGTCATCAATTTCAAAGTCTAGCCTTTTTTTTTTTCCTATAATGGGTGGGAGGGAAACTATTGCTAGTTTAGTTGAATTTGTTTGCTTGACAATTGTTAGCGGATGCAGGTGCATCGCTTAATGTGCTTGGAGCTCAAGAAACTCGTTGATAGCATTTTGCACATGTTCTCAGCTCTCGAGTCTGCTCGGCCACGATGCACATCAGGAATGCAGGCTTTATGCTCATTACAATCAGCAATGGATAAAGCAAAGTTATTAATCCAGTACTGTTCTGAATCCAGCAAACTCTACTTGGTACTTTCTTTTTAACTTTTATTGTTCTGTTTATAAAAGAACTAAAAAAATCTGCTAAATCTAGAAACTGGTATCACCAGTCCAAGGCTGTTGTTTTATTATGAAATCAATACCCATGTTGCATTCATGCAGCATATCATCTTTGTTTTCTAATCACAAAATGTAATGTTAAGAGCACCATTGCATTCTTGATATATTCATCCGCCTCTTGAATCGTTTCATTCCCCATGGTCAGCATGAAATTAGTTTTGACATTTTGAATTCACATGCCAATGCCATCTTCGATACTGTCAAATTTATGCAGTAAGCCATTCACATAATTTTCAGGTTTCTGTTGACATTATTTGGGTAATAATTGTATTCATGAAATATTTAGGCAATTACAGCAAAAGAGATACTCTTAAGGTGTGAAAAAATTCGGAGAACTTTGGAGATTTGCATGAATCAAGTTCAAGATATGGTTCCACTCTTTTTGGCTTCAAAGGTTTGTAGTACTCCATAACTTTTTCTCGTTTTGAAATTTCCTGGCAGGAGAATTTTAGAGTGCTTGATTTACTACTATTATTCCATGTATTATTTGGTGCTATTGTTACTATAGTGGTAGAAAGATGTATAGTTTTGTTGGTTGAGTTTTTAAACATTATGTACTATCTTCAGTCTTTTTTACCTTTTCCTTTAAAATCTTTCCTTAATTGTAATTAAGGAGAAATTACTATTTACAGATACATGGAATTATAGATGAACTTAGGAGTGCAAGGTTTCCTCTAGAACCTTCTGAATATGAGGTTGGCGCAGTTATACGTGCACTGCTTGAACAAGACATATCTGCATTAGGCTCCAAAATGCAATCAGAAATTGAGGCTCTTCAACTTGCAGCTTTGAGGTTGAACATTACATCTCCTTTTGCTCTTTTGATAGAGCAAAGATCTATCAAGAAACTTCTTGGAAAAGTTAATGATACAAACCCAACTAAGAGAAAAATCTTGCATTATCTCTTACATCTTCTGAAAAAACATGGAAAGTTAATTTGGCAACTCCAATCTAAAAGCATCATTCCTATGGAGGAAGAGAACTTTTTTTCATCCATGGAGCTGGAGCAAGGAATAAAAAAAGAAGATGATACGTCAACTGATGACTTATTCATCCTTAAACTTCCTGAGCAATTCAAATGCCCTATCTCTATGAGACTGCTGTATGATCCTGTAATTATTGCTTCTGGAAAAACATTTGAACGAGTTTGGATAGAGAAGTGGTTTAATGAGGGCAATCAGATGTGCCCTGTGACTAATACAAGGTTGGAGCAATTGTCTGTCACTCCAAATTTAACAATGAAAAGCCTCATTTCAAAGTGGTTTTTGAGGCATGGAATCAACATTCCTGAAGTTGCACAACCAATTCCTTCACTGCTTTCCTTACAGAAACCTTCTTCCAGCTCCATTGTTAGCTTTGGCAGTTCTGTGCTTGGTTTGCAACTTAAAATAGGGAGTGTCTCACTTGGCTCAATGAGTACTGAATCTAGTTTAGTTTCATCAGATGGGAAATCTAATGATGAGATTACGAGTGGGCTGCCTCAGATTGTTGCAGATTCTCATGGTCAAATATATCATCACTCTTCTATGACTTCAAGTAGTCATGACATCAATACAGCCTTTCTTTCTGAACTTGATAAACATTCCTGGGAATCTCAATGCAAGGCTGTTGAAAATGTTAAAGGCCTTCTGGAAGACAATGATAAGGCTCAGCATTTGACTTTTTCAAGTAGTTATGTTATTCCTGTGATTAATTTTTTGAAGGATGCAAATGAAATATGTGATATAAAAATGCAAAAAGATGGAGCAGAGGTGCTTCTAGCGATTTTGAGCAGTAGCAGGTAATGTTTCTTTCTGGTATCCTTTTTGCTTCGTTAGCTACTTAGGTGTTGTCAGTAAAAACATTATTGAGTTAAGAGGCAAATAATATGATCTGAGTGGGTAACAACATAAGAATCAATGCTTGGATTTTTCTTTAAAAAGGTTTACCTATCATTAGAACACATATATGGCGTTCAAGCTTATAAAGTATTCGAGTAGCTTATGTTGCTGCCGAAAAATTAAGGAAACCCACTTGCATAATACAATTATTTTTTGGCAATTAAATGCAGATGATGGAAATAGGTACATAGTTTAAGGAGCAAACAAGCATATTGGTTTCTGTCCATGCTTTCTGTAGATAACTTTATGAGGATACCCTTCTGTAATAATTGATGGCATTGACCATATTGCATGAAGTAAAGACACTACTAGTTTACTAGTTTGAGAATGAGGAAATTCTTTTTAATGAAAAGTTTAATGGCTGGAGCTTAGAAAAATTAAAGCCCCTCCAGGAAGATTGGCATAGCCAGTGCCACGTAAATCTGTTGAGAGTTGATTGAATGTCTATATTATTGAAGTTTTGGTCCTTGCACTCACTGTCTTAGTTATCTATTCCATCACTTGTCCTCTGCTTCTGCCCTTCTCTATTATATGCTGGAACTTTGAACCATAAATCTTTCACTACTTCTGATATATTGTTCTTGACATCGACTTATCATACAAAGTTGCTGTTGTCCTAGGATAGTAGAAGCGCTCACTTATTCGCTGATGATAAAGGTATCTTTTGTTGCCTGCAGAGTCGAATTCCCTCCCTTTCATCAAGATGTTATCAATTTGTTGGCATCATTGTTGGATTCTGAACCAGCTGGAGAGTCCCTTGCAATACTGGTAGTTTTATCCTGGCAACAGTACTATAAGTCCAGAATTGTGGCATCTGGCGTTTTGCCTTCCATCCTGAAAGTCCTTGACTCCACAGTTACAGAATTTTACGTGCTGGCTATGAAGATCTTACGTAATTTGTCCAATGGAACTGATGTTGGTTATCATATTGCATATTTGGGTTATATCCCCAAGCTGGTTGCTTTTCTTGAGGATTCAAATGTTGCGGGCTTTTGCATTGAGATTATAAATAACATATGCAATATTGAGGAGGTTAGAATTGAAGTTGCAGAAGCCAATTTTTGTACTTCAATAGCCACAATTTTGGAAGCCGGTAATAAGGAGGAGCAAGAACTTGCTGTTGATTTGCTCCTGTCTCTATGCTCTGACAATCCAGGGTACTGTCAAATGATAAAGACAGAAAGCATAATCCAATCTTTGTTCAGCATATCTATCAATGGCAGTTCTAAAGGATCCGAGAATGCGTTAGTACTGCTCGGCCTCATGGGATCCATGATGAAAAGTGATGCCTCGCAATGTTCAATCCCTTGCACCGTTTTCAGCCAAGAAAACTCGCGTATCTCCAGCAGTGACTTCAGGGTTAAAAAATCATCTTCCAAGGGATTTGGATGTCTGAGAAAGAAATTCTCAAGGTTTTTACTTGCTCAATGTTGATTTTCCTTTTGATTTTTTTTTTTTCCTGCTTGAATGCCTTTCTCCTTTAAGAAACTCATTAATCCATGATGTATATATTATATTGTGGGAATCAGGGGGATTAGCTCAATTTTGATCATGTAGTCACAGTGCTGTAGGTTCTCATATTTCCAGGGTCTGTTTAGTAAATAGAATGCTACCTCTTTTTCTAGACAGTTTTTGGGCAGAGGTATTTTTGCAATCCAGGGGTTAGCAGCTATACAAATATGTGCATTTGCATACCCTCCTTGCCGTTCACCATTCATCTCTTCCTTTTTCACTTTTTATTTATTTAAGAAAAGATGAGAAAAAAACGAAGGCATTTCCCAGTTCCCAGGTGTAAACATTAGCAAAATGAAGTTTCTAACTATGAACCAATCGGATTTTATTTTCCTCTGTAAAAGAATGATTTGACACTGTAAGCGATTTTGATTCCCGTTTGAGTTCTGTCAGCCAAAGTTTTGTAGAATTCTAGTAGTAGTCTCCTTTGATGAACGCGTTCAGTCTCTTCAATTCTCGATTTTGTTGATCCACCATTGCTCGGACAACGTCTACAATAGAAACCATGCCGACTATTCTCTCATCTATGACAGGAACATGCCGTATGTTATTGTCTGTCGTCATTGCTTCTCTTAAATCAAATGTAAAGTGAGTTGATTCCATCTTTCTTGTATTCAGATTACATAAATCACCATACATACCACTTACCTGTTGTGAGTTGCACTGAAGAATGCTTGTATCAGATTTCACTGTCATTAACTTGGTGACAAATGAAAACTAATGACAATTTAAATGGGATGGAGTTATGTTAAAAAAAAAAAAAAATTTGTAACCAGTTGCTGTGATTTAATTGCTAAATTCTTAATTTCAGTGATTAGGACTTAAATTCTGACAGCCTCAATTACCCAAAGAAAAGTTTGCAAACAGAGAAATTAGCTTGTCCATCATGATTTCCCCAACTCTTGTATTTAGGTGATCTTCCTTGCCCTCTAATCTTCCTCAAGTAGTCCTATCCATTCCACCATTAGGAAAATTATCAGGTCTCAAAGTTAGAAGAGTTGTGAAGACAAGCCTAGATAACGATGAACATTGTGATTTGACTCTAGACTCTCAGTCCGTAGCTTGCCTTCCAAGATTAAATAGATGCTAAAACTTAAAAGAGTACATGCATGTAGCCCTCATTACTTGAAGCATGCGGAGTACAAAGGCGGTTGCCGATGAAAATGGCAAGCCTAAATTGCTTCCAAAGAGAATATGTACAACCAAATTGTGGTGAACACTAGCATGATCATGCCTGTAGAGGGAACAAGAGAATCATTATTCACATACAGGTTTTGTGTCAAAGCTGCTTAAGCAGATTGCAAAGGCTTGGAAGGCAGAGAGTGGGTAACGATAATCCAAGGTGAAAATGTCCTCACCAATCTTTCCAAATTGTAGAATCACTTTTTCTTGTTCCACTGCTCTAACATTTTGGCTTGGCTCCACAGCAGCCACCAACTGGAAATTCTTCACAGAAGCCACTGTAACTCGTCCTTTAAAATTTAGGCACCAACACTGCAACTGTTCATGCCATCTAGGAGCTTTATTTTTCAAAACTAAGGGTGCACTTTGCACTGATTTCAAAGGCTTACCATAGCCAGTTGAGTTGAATCCAACTCGTGCGCTTTTTCCTTCTGCATCTAATAAGGAAGAAGAATCCTTATCATGGCAATTGAACGCCACTGGAGTAGGAGCAATTCCTCCTTCTTCAATCGCAGAGATGGGGATTGAGTGCATTGTACACTGCATTCTCCTTGGACCTCTGGTACGTAGAACATTGAGCTCATAAGATATGTCGGCAGTGTTATAGTTGCTCGTAGGCACCCTTGGAGGCACCTGCTTGAAACGAGTTTTCCAACAAGATTGAAAACTGGATCGGACAGTAGAGTCATCTGGAGGTTGACAGTCGAAAATGTTGAACTTGGTTCCCAGGAAATTAGACCTGTTAAACTTCACTCTTAAATTGCACGAAACAACAGACCAATCCTTAAGAAAATAACAATTTCACACATCGAAAAGCTTGCCTGAGTTTTCCAACATAATTGTAACTTGATCTAGAGAAATCATCCCCAACTAAAGATATCACAAAATAACTACTGGTAGCCCTTCTGACCTTTTTTGCTGCCAGTAACAATTTACTCAAATCACCGGACGGAGCTGTAATTTTTTCGTAAATATTAATAAAAATTAGTTATATATAGATTTTACTAAGCAGAAACATACAGTTTTTAGAATCAAAACACCCAAATGGCCAAATCAAATACCCAAGAAAAAATGATAAAGCAAAGGAAAATTTACCAGGACTGAGACCCATATACAATCGATATGTTGAAATTGCCCTTTCCCTCCTAACAAAGCATTGAATCGGAGTATCCCTTGGGCCAGGCTAAACCAAAAACAAAAAGCAAAACCCACAAACTATAAGTAACAAAAAAATTGATTTTTTGATAATAAAGGGCAAAAAAAAAAAAAAATCTCACCTGCTTTAAAGAGATGGGGAAAGTTAAAAAGCCACATTGTTCAGGCGTCTTAACAATCTCTTTAGTGATTTCCCTCCATGACCTGCACACTGAAGCACAAGCAACCACATCTTTCTTTCCAGGCCAACATGTTTCCCTCGCTTCCACTCTTTGAATTATATCTAAAAGTAATTCCCGAGGTAAATTTGCCCATTGCCCTTGCTTTGAAGAACCAGCTGATGATGATGGTGATGATGAAGAAGCTTCTGGAGCAATATAGGCTCGTCCAAGCCCAAGCTTATGTCTCTTCCTCTCTGAACTTTTCTTTGATATATTCCCAATCTCCCGAACAAAGGTTTTCAATGGCATTTTTCTTAATTTTGACTTTACACAGCTAAAAAGATCATAATCAGGCAAATAGAAAGAAAGAAGAAAGATGTAATATTTAAAAGAGTTTGTTTTTCATTTTTGGTTTTGAAATTTACCTGAAAGATTGAAGATTTTTCGGCTGCCAAATTGAAAAGAGAGACCTTTGACACAAATTTAAAAAAAAAAAATTTTAACAGGAAGATTTGGAAAAATGTTGAAAATTTCCAGAAAGGAGAGACAAATTCATCGGAAAACAAGAAACGAGAGGCAAATTGGAGAATGTACACAATCTCCAATTAGAGAGAGAGAGAGAGAGAGAGAGAGAGAGAATCTAATGGGATTAGACGTTAAGACCGGCGATTTGATTGTTCCTTTTCTTTTCTCTCTCTATCTCTCCGTCGCTGCCACCGCCTCAAGCTGCCGTTCGACAGGAGTACAACGCAATGAAGGCTCTTCTCTTTTTTTTCTTTCCTTTAATTCTAATACAAACGATTTGCATTTTTTGAAAACCGTTTTTTTTTTTTTTTTTTCTCTGCTTTTGTTGTTTTTAAATTTTGTCCGTTAATTTTAATTGGCAGGTTTTTTCTGTGTGTTCACACAGTTAGCAGGAAAATTGCACTCGGGACACGTGGCAGTCAAAGGAGACATTGGTCCCTTCGATTTGATTTTGCTTGATTAAGAAGATTAGCTTTATTAAAATAAATAAATAAATTACATCGTTCATCCCTTAACTATATTTGTGTTTTTAAAATAATCAATAAATTTTTTAAATTAATTACTGAATTTTAAGTAAGTATTTTTTATTATCTAATCATTAGTTTTTTAGCAAAAAAATTTATTATATTTAAACGATTGATTGATAAAAAAATATTTATTTAAATTTAATAATTAAATAAAAAAATTTAATAATTAAATGATCATTTTAAAACACAAAACATAATTGAGTAATTAATGATATATTTTATACAAAAATATTAATATTAATAATTTTTTCCATAAATTTTCTCATTCATTGTGAAAATTTTAAATTTTATAACTAAATTTAATAAAATAATCATACTCTTAAGATATATTAAAAATAAAATATGCGATAATATTTTATTTTATTTTTAATTAAAAATTGCACTGGCAAGCATGAAAACACTTTTTGTTATAAGTTTCTTTGATTTTTTAGATCCACTTTTTCATTTTATGTTCCAAGCAATGAACTTTTTAGATTTAAAAACAGTAATGCCTGATTGAGAATGTTTTTAATATTTTTTTCATACACACATTAAATTTAATAGTAATATATAATTTCCAATAGCAAAAATTGTCTAATGTATAATGTTTTGCTTTTTTTTTTTTTTGGCAATCCATTTATAACTTAGTGTTATTATTAAAGAAAAAAAAAACTAATTAGATGTTATAATCACGAGGTTGTTTGGTATCGAAGAATCCCTCGTGATTCCTTGAAATAATATTTCCTCAACAATTGTAAAATATATATATATATATAATACAACTTAGTTAATTTCAAGTTATTTTTAAATTTAAAAATTTTCAAAAAATTACATACAATATGTAACAATTAATGAATTATATAAATTTAAAGATTCGTATATTCGTATTATATTTTATATAAAAATTAAATATTATAATTTATATTAATATGATAATATTAAATATTTTTTTTAATTTTATTAAATTTATATAAAATAATTATTAAAATTTTAAATTATTATTTTTAAATTTTTAATTATATCATATTATTATATTATAATTTAAAACTATAACTAAATAATTTTTAACACGAGAACAATCTTTACGATCCTGAATTATAGCTAGTGAAAAGTTTTGAGAGTTACCACCACTCAATTTATTCCCCGCACGAGTGGCTTGCAGCTGGCTTAGCTATGTCCTTCAGATTCGTGGAAATGCGGGAGGCTCTTTGACAACCGAGTCGACCGGTGTCAGATCAAGGATAAGATAAGTTGAAACTTTGAGATGTAAGGTCACACTTTCACGTGCCACATCCACATAGCTTAATCATTACTCACTTGTCTGTCTGGCTCAATAATCAAACATTGAATATCATCTAAGAAAGTGGAGAGCTAATGGGAGCTTTTCTTAACAATGATAGCTTATCTTTAATCTGCCATTAGTGGTAGAGATAAAAAGCATCTAATTTCAATCCTTTGTTTGTCTTTGATGAAACCTTAACTTGCGGTTAACGTTTGATCGAAGTTTAACATAATCTGTCCATGATAATTCAGTGAGAAAGTGGTATGTCAGTGGCAGTGTTCTTGACTCCAAAAGGAAGCATGCTTGAATTATAGCAAGGATGTGGTCTTTTTCTGTTTCATTTACTTATAATATTTTCAATTGATTAAATACATTTTATATGCATTATTCTTCAATTTTCTTTATTAACACTTGATGTTAGCTGTGGGTTTTAAAAACAAGACCACTCAAACATTAGGGTCCACTCACCAACCGGCGAACCTAGAGATGCACTGGAGCCGACCTTGACTGCTGCTATTGATTTTAAATTGTAGTTAATTAGAAGTATTTTCATGGGATTTTATTACTTTATTGGATTTCTTGCTTATTAGAATGAATGCAGTTTGAAAAAAAGTTTCTACAGTCTATTAGGGTTTACATTGTGGTGGCTGCAGTGCTACAAACTGCTACTAGATTCTGCATAATTTGATGGAATTTGAAACTGAAAATGGTCGTCTCCATGCTGATCAAGGTCTCCAGGTCAGATACAAACCCCTTATTAAAAGAACTATGGCAATGAAACAAGTCCCAGCTAGCTCAACAGCTACAATGAGCTCCATAACTCAATTGGGTCAAGCAAATTGAAGTGCCTAGTTAGGTGCCTGTCTGTAATTGCAGTATCATTCAAGAAGAAAAAAATTATGAACTTTCAACTTTTTATCATATTAAAACAAATATATGCAGCCAAGCTTTAGAACGAGGTCAAGTAGAAGCAAAGCAAAATGATACTTGGGGAAGTGAAATGTGGAGCCCTTTTTTTTTTTTTTTTCTTGCTTTCTTTCATGCATGCACTGTGGCCTTGCATAACTTGGTTGAAAATCATGTTGTTTCAGTTGGAAGTTTGCCAACTGGTACAATGCCCACAAGGACAAATGTGGATTCCACCTGGATAAGATTTTGGTGTTGCAAAACTGTAGGCTCACATCGGAAAAAAAAGTTATTGTTCTTGATTTGATGAAGAATTTGGACGTGCCACAAATTAATTCAGACGACATGCCAGCTCTGCAAATTTCCGTCCCTACTTGCCCAATGTCTTGGATTATGCCAAGAAAGGGTATTAAAAGAAGTTAAAAATGAAGGAGCCATCAAGAGCTCGTGAAGGTCACTAATTATTAACAGTCATGAGACCATGCATACACCAATGATGAGTAAGGCAAGTGAGCCTTTTGGTAATGAAAAATAAAGGAAAAAGTAAACCGACTGTTGTTCTTTCCTGAGGATTTTCTTTGTCATGTCATTCTTTTTATTCCTCTAGATTCTCATCAATGATTGATTTTTGTTGCTCCAATATCATCCACTGATCAGGCACTAAATGTAGATGCTTCAAAGTTCCTTGTGCAAACAAAATCGAAAAGTTCCTTCCACAAAGGATCTGGTTTATGCCAAAAAAAACAGTGTATGAGATTGGGCCTGAGCAAGATCAAGATCTAAATTTCTTCATTAACTGATTAAAGCTTAGACTCTGGACTCTTTTTCACCCCATTACTTACAATGTGCCTCACTTCGTAAAAATTATATTAACAGAGCCCAAGCCTGCAAAGATCTCAACGGACATTTTGACAGACACACTCACCCATTATGAGCGTAGGTTTAGCCCAAAATGCTTCAATCACTATCTGTCAGAATTTAAAATACATACATGAAGACTCCTCTGGCAGAAGTTTTGGGGTTTGATGACGTCATGTAGATATCTATGGCATACTCAAAGAACCTGACATATGGGACGACAGACTGTAAGCACAGACTCCAAGTAAATTCATTTATGACAGGACAAAGACAATAAAGAAAAGAAAAATATGGCTAGATTACTGACTAGTGTCGTTTATCTTCTGACTCCCATGTATATCGGCTTAGAAACTGGGCTGTTAATGGATTTGAACCCTTCAAATGGCGATAAGAATGTCTCCCAGACAAATAAGATCAAAACGCGTGCGTCAGCCCACAACTTGAATTCCCTTCTCTTGCCGCATCTTTAATGTCTAGTCGGTGGGCTGCAAACTAGAGAGTATTTAGTTACAAGAGTTAGTGGAGCCTATCACAATCAAAATACTAATCATTTTGTCACCACGTAAATAAATTGGCCTCTGTGTCTTCATTTTCACAGGAAAAAGCATGGTTTTGAGGATAAGAACGAGTAAAAATGACGACTCTCCGACAGAAAATAAAGGAAAAGATAAGATCCCACCCACAGATATATATAGGCTTTTTCTCAAGATATTTGCTGTGAGAGATGGTTCTTTGTTTTGGTTCTAGCAGGTGAAAGATCATCAGCAAATGGGTTCTCTAATGGCAGGATGGGATTCTCCTGTATCAGATCCTGCAGCAGGTGATTTCAGTAAACTCTTATCAGGTTTATCTTGCATGGCTTAGTTAGTGCTTCCATGGTGTTTTCTATTTACTACTTAATCCTTTTGTTTAATTTATGGTCATTTGAAAATCTTTCAGTAATACGGAACAGAAATCGATCACTTACCAAGGAAGAGATTGAAGCGTACTGGAGATCAAAGAAGAAAACGGAGGAAGAGCATCTTAAGGCTATTTGCAGTCCATCAGATAGCTGCAGCAAGCTGGTGCAAATTGTTATTAAAGATTTTACAATTAATTGCAGCTTAGTCTTATTTTTCACCACGTTTTGAATTAGTTTTACACATGGATTATATGGTAGGACACTCCATTTGCGGAGTATGGAAGGCAGTATATGAGATCAAGCTCCATGCCTTTGCCCAATACAAAGCAGGGTTTCCTGGAAATGAACGAAGAAACAAGCCTGGAGAACATCACAAAGAAAAATGGCTGGTGAGTAACTAAATCTTAATTACTCGACTCATTAGCACCAAAAAGTTTAAGTTGACAAATTTTATCAACATACAAATTTCTGTGGATTATTGCAGGTGGACAAGAAGCAATTGGGCATTCTTGAATGAACCTCCTGTTGCTGACCGCCTTACCAACAGTTACAAACCGCAGTTCCACATTGCCAACCTTGGTGCTTCGAAGCTTAACACAGATACTGGAATCAGTACTTAAATCTTTTGCTCCTAATGCTACTTCTACAAAGTAGCAAGAACGTTACGTACTCTGATGTGTGCTGGCTGAAGTCTGTACCAAGTAGTACTAAATTACTGATAGTAGTGGGGGATGAATCTGTTGTCAGCATTTGTCACTGGGGTTCTTTTGGCAACTTAAAATTTCCTAAGCTCTGTACTGTATAGAGATTTGTATGACAAGATTTTTCTATACTGATGACTTCTTTCTAAAACAAGAATAATTGTGCTAAATATTGCATGATTTGACTGTTTTCACTGCAAATTATGTGCAGTGGTTTGTGCATCAGAGATCAGTAGATAAAAATTAAATTCTAAGAGGTTTAATAAAAACTGTCAAGGGCAATCATTATCAGCCTTGTGTAAATGATGGGTCTATTTCTTAGCTAAATAAATTCACTTTTCCCAACAAACTGTTAACTTTTCTTATACAAAATTTCGAATAAAATTCATGGGCGTGTGGTAATCAAAGCCGAAATATCATTTTCTGGTGATATGGAACTTTGGGTTGAGCCCAGTCCATTCATATAAGAGGCACTTTGACCCAATTAGTTCTTATGTTGCCTAGGCTTAATATTAGGAAATGTAACTCTTTGTCAAAACTGCTCTGCTCTTAATGTATATTAAAATCTTTTGGTGATGTGATTAAAAAACAAAGATATGATGTATATGATGAGTAGTCTCAAAGCTTTAAAAACATAGACTAATTCCAAACTCACTAATTTATGCAACTAATCCTGAAACTTCCATAATGTTTATTTTATCTTTTTTTCTCCAAACCACTGTTTAATTTTGAAGTAATTGACTAATTGTTAGTCGGACGTTTTTTTATTGGCTGTCGGTTGAAATGGGTAAACGGCGACTCTTTTTTTTTTTTTTTCTTTATTAAGCCTGTATACCAATTTTCCAAGCACATTAAGTGAAATACCAATGTTAGCCTGTACCCAACCTGGCTAATTCAACAATGCGTGCGTAATTGAGACGATCAGCCAAATATTTTCAATAACAAAGACTGCTTAATTTTCTATATTTTCCCAAACCAAGAATTTTCACATGACAGAGACAGACCGACAATTTTCTACCGTTGATGAAAGCAATTTGTACTGCACGATTAGTCAAAAAGCTTAAAATCATATCATAGTTATCCAAAATAGGCACTTCATTTCCCACCAATCAGGATGATCCTCAGGAGTACTTCACATACCACATCTCATCCATAAATAGTGCTTCCATTTGGTTCACACTCCATCACAAGAACATAATCCAAAACCTCTTTACCAACTAGTACGTCTCATTTGGCTCTCATTTCTGTGGCTGAAGAATTATTCAATGGCTGGAAAGAGCAAGGTTTTGATCATTGGAGGCACTGGATACATCGGAAAGTTCATTGTCGAAGCCAGTGCAAAAGAGGGTCATCCCACTTTTGCTTTAGTTAGAGAGAGTACGGTTTCTGATCCTGTTAAGGGAAAGGTTATTGAGAACTTCAGGAACTTAGGGGTCCAATTGTTGTGCGTAAGTATATTTGAGTTCTTGTGAACGTGAACGTATATTCACGTCGTGATCTTGTTTTTTTAGTTTGGTGTTTTGTCGGCATGCAGGGGGATCTTTACGATCATGAGAGTTTGGTTAAGGCAATAAAGCAAGTTGATGTGGTGATATCCACCGTTGGTGGCATGCAGTTAGCAGATCAAGTTAAGATCATTGCTGCCATTAAAGAAGCTGGGAATGTGAAGGTTAGTGTTTCCCACTCAAGTTGAGGGTTTGATATCAGACATTCGTTTGGTGGTCTTTGATCTTTAGCATATGTGACATCACCATAAATGAAATTAGCTGAAACCATGGTTGTTTAATTTGTTTGATTAGAGATTTTTTCCATCGGAATTTGGAAATGACCCCGACCGGGCTCATGCCGTTGAGCCAGGGAAAACAGTATTCACAATCAAGGCTCAAATCCGCCGTACTATCGAGGCTGAAGGAATCCCTTACACTTACGTGTCCTCTAACTGCTTTGCGGGGTATTTTATTCCTAACTTGGCACAGCAAGGAGCCACTGCTCCCCCAAGAGACAAGGTTGTTATCCTAGGCGATGGAAATACTAAAGGTAAATAGTGTTCCTTAGCTCATCAATATTAGCTTCTTTTCCATTTTTATTTAGGGAAGCCAAGTCCTAAACCATACTAGACTGATAGATGCATCACATCCACTGGCTAAGGTGGTATGTTTCTCTATTTACAAGCTTTGAATTCAATTGCTAGGAAAAACTATTCCAAGGAATGATGGAAAATGGATCCTTTTAGTGATCTAGAAAGAGGAAAAATGAAACTTAAATCATTTTTGTTATGTAAACCAAACAGAACATCTCTTCTTGGAAAAAAAAAATGAAAATGAAAAATTCAGAGGGCTTGATCAAAGGTTAAGGGCTTAGTTGTAGAAATTAAACAAGCATGTAATAATCACTATTTGCATCCTGTTCTGTTTGCAGCTGTTTTCAACGATGAAGGTGATATTGGCACCTACACCATCAAAGCTGTTGATGACCCCAGAACATTGAACAAAAGCCTGTACATCAGGCCTCCTAAAAACACCTATACGTTTAACGAGGTTGTTGCCCTGTGGGAGAAACTGATTGGCAAAACCCTTGAGAAAACATATGTTCCAGAGGACCAACTTCTCAAACAGATCCAAGGTTGTTGAAATCCCTGCTCTTTTTTCATTCACAAATTCTGCTAATTAAACTTTCTATTGGATTATTCATCAGGGATGTTGATATTAGAATATTTTTTCTTAGCTGCAATTCATATCAATTTGTCCTTCTGTTATTATTGTTAGTGTTATTTCATTTTCAAACGTGATGGCTAATTGGCGTGTTTGGTTTTCATCAATTCTTGCAGAGTCTCCCATTCCAATCAATGTGATATTGGCAATCAGTCATTCAATCTTTGTGAAAGGTGATCACACCAACTTTGAGATTAAGCCGTCATTTGGAGTCGAGGCTTCCGAGCTATACCCTGACGTGAAATATACCACTGTGGAAGAACAACTCCGCCGTTTTGTTTGAGAAAAAAATTGAATCATAGCTCTTTGTTAAAACTACTACTAGTAATAATGAAGGCTGTACCATCGCCCCCCAATTTTTTTTTAACGTCATTGTAGCAGAATACTTCATTTCACCAAAAATAATACTTGATCCCCTTTTTTCTAGTAAAATTATTTTTTGATTCCTCCTTTTTCCTATCTCTAGCTTCGCCTCTGGTAATAATTGGGAAATATCATCAAGACTTTGCTTGGTTAAAATTCATAACTACTTTTCTACTTTGTAACTTAATCATTAGATTAAAAATTTTTCATCCTCATTTTTTTTCTATCATTGCTACCTACTAAAGCCCAAGGGATTTGTGGAGAGAGCTAGAGGAGAGTGTGTGTTCTCAAGTTTCTTGTCATCATTCGACAGACTGTGAACGATGCTGTTCTTCTTGCTTATATATAATTAACAGCAGCTTCATCTCTACTTGATTATATAATTTTCATATTAACATTGAATTTGAATAGAAAGTCATTCAGTCCCCGGACTAAAAAAATACATGAATAAGCAGCGATAAAAATTCAAATCCTGATGTACCCTTTAAACTATAAAAAGGTTCTTGAGCATGCACAGAGTGAATTACCCTTTTATTTTGGTCTAATCAACCAAAACATGAATTACCATAATATGATACTACCTTTTCGTTTGGCACACAATCCACGAATTAACTACTGGGTGTGAATATTTCATTTTGGCAATGTAAGATGAGCACTGGTTACTTTAAATCGATGGCTTTGTTTTAAAGACTAACCATTCATTGCCCCGCAACATATTTGTGTTGGACTTTCAAGGATCGTATATTGGAGGCTTATGTAAAATACAAATCCTTTTGTATTTTTATAGTAATTGTTAGTCGGACTCTTGTTTATTGTCGTCCGTTGAATTGGGCAAACACTCATTCCTTTTTCATTTTTTCTTTATCAAGGGTAGGCCATATGCCAATTCTCAAATTGGCAATGGATTTTATCAGTATCTTGGCCACGTTCAAGAGTTTCTAGAATGTTAAATTACGTTTTTTTTTTTTTAATTATTTTTTCCCTTTGTTTCTCTTGAAGATGCGTAATTTGTAAGGCATATCAAGTAAAAAATAAATGTCAGCCTACACGTAACCCGGTTAATTCAATAATGCATGCGTAATTGAGACTTTCCAGCAAAAACAAGTTTAAATAACAAAGACGGCTTAAACTTCTATTCCCAATTGGCAAAAAAAAAAAAAAATCTATTCCCTAACCAAGATTTTTCAAATGACAGAGACAGACTGACAATTTTCTACCGTTAATGAAAACAATTTGCGCTGCATGATTAGTCAAAAAACTGAACATGATACCATAGTTATCCCAAATAAGTACTTTGTTTCCCACCAATCAGGTGATCCTTGGGATTACTTCACATACCTCATCTCGTCCATAAATAGTGCTTTCATTTGGCTGTCGAACTCCATTGCAAGAACATCATCCAAAACCTGTTTACCATCTAGTCTTCTCATTTGGCTCTCATTTCTGTAGCTGAAGAATTATTCAATGGCTGGAAAGAGCAAGGTTTTGATCGTTGGAGCCACTGGATAGATTGGAAAGTTCATTGTCGAAGCTAGTGCAAAAGAGGGTCATCCCACTTTTGCTTTAGTTAGAGAGAGTACGGTTTCTGATCCTGTTAAGGGAAAGGTTATTGAGAACTTCAAGAACTTAGGGGTCCAATTGTTGTGCGTAAGTATATTTGAGTTCTTGTGAACGTGAACTTACATTCATGTCGTGATCTTATTGTTTTAGTTTGGTGTTTTGTGGGCATGCAGGGGGATCTTTACGATCATGAGAGTTTGGTTAAGGCAATAAAGCAAGTTGATGTGGTGATATCCACCGTAGGTCTCATGCAGTTAGCAGATCAAGTTAAGATCATTGCTGCCATTAAAGAAGCTGGGAATGTGAAGGTAATTGTTTCCCACTCAAGTTGATGTCGTGATATCAGGCATTTGTTTTGTGGTCTTTGATCTGTAGCTTATGTGACATCACTATAAATGAAATGAGCTGAAACTATGGTTGTTTAATTTGTTTGATTAGAGATTTTTCCCATCGGAATTTGGAAGTGACCCCGACCGGGTTCATGCAGTTGAGCCAGTGAAAACATCATTCACAATCAAGGCTCAAATCCGCCGTACTATTGAGGCTGAAGGAATCCCTTATACTTACGTGAACTCTAACGGCTTGGCGGGCTATGTTCTTCCTAACTTGGCACAGCCAGGAGCCACTTCTCCCCCTAGAGACAAGGTCGTCATCCTAGGCGATGGAAATCCTAAAGGTATAAATAATGTTTGAGTTCTAAAATATCAGCTTCTTTTCCATTTTCAAATATTTTAGTTTAGAGAAGCCCTAAACCATACATAGACTGATAGATGCATCACATCCACTGGCTAAGTGGGTATGTTTCTCTATTTACAAGCTTTGAACTTCCATTGCTAGGAATAACTCTTCCATGGAATGACGGAAAATGGATCCTTTTAGTGAACTAGAAAAATGAAAAAGGACAAATGAAACTAAACTTAATCATTTTTGTCATGTAAATCAAACAGAACATCTCTTCTGAGGAAAAAAAGGAAACTAAAAATCCTGAGGACTTGATAAAAGGTTAAGGGCTTAGTTGTAAAAATTAAACAAAGCATGTAATAATCACTATTTGCGTACTGTTCTGTTTGCAGCTGTTTTCAACTATGAAGGTGATGTTGGCACCTATACAATCAAAGCTGTTGATGACCCCAGAACATTGAACAAGATCCTATACATCAAGCCTCCTAAAAACACCTACTCCTTTAACGAGGTTGTTGCCTTGTGGGAGAAATTGATTGGCAAAACCCTTGAGAAAACATACGTTCTGGAGGACCAACTTCTCAAACAGATCCAAGGTTGTTGAAATCCCTGCTGTTTATTTATTCAAAACAACTGCTAATTAAACTTCCTGTTGGATTATTCATCAAATAGAGGGATGTTGATATTAAGATATTCTTTCTGAGCTGCAATTCATATCAATTTGTTCTTCTGTTATTGTTGATATTGTTATTTCATTTTCAAACGTGATGGCTAATTGGTCTTGTTTGGCTTCCATCAATTCTTGCAGAGGCTCCAATTCCAATCAATCTGATATTGGCATTCGGTCATTCAATGTTTGTGAAAGGTGATCAGACCAACTTTGAGATTGAACCGTCATTTGGAGTCGAGGCTTCCGAGCTATACCCTGACGTGCAATACACCACTGTGGAAGAATTCCTCAGCCGTTTTGTTTGAGAAAAAAATTGAATCATAACTCTGTTTTAAAACTAATACTAGTAATAATTGGCAATCTATCACCAGGACTTTACTGGTAAGAAAGACGGCAAAGGGTAAGGATGAAAAATTTTTTAATTTAATGATTAAGTTACAAAGTAAAAAAATAGATTATGAATTTTAATCATTAATTAAAAAATTATTCATCCTCACCTTTTTGCATCATTCCTACCTAATAAAGCGCAAAAGATTTGTGCAGAGGGCTAGAGGAGATACCGTGTTCATAAGTTTCTTGTTATCATTCGATGCCGTTCTTCTTGCTTATATATAATTTAACGGCAGCTTTGTCTCTACTTGCTTATATAATTTTCATATTAGCATTGAATTTGAATAGAAAGTCATTGAGTCCGAAGACTAAAAAAAAGATATGAATAAGCAGCAATAAAAATTCAAATCCTGATAGCTTTTTTAACTATAAAAAAATTATTAAACATATATAATGTTAGTTATTTCAGCGAAGTGATAAACATAATATTATAAAATAATATATCGTAATAAACTTATAATAATAAATAATAATTAATAAATTAATATAAAATATTATTTAAAATTATTTATAAACGAACAAAAATCCAATATATGTATAAATAGTTCGTTAAAAATTTTGTTCGTTCGCACCAATAAATGTTAGCATATACCTATTCGGGCTAATTCAATACGCAAGCGCAGCAAAAAGAAGTTTCAATAACAAAGACGGCTTAAGCTTCTATTCCCAATTGGCACAAAAAAAAAAAAAAATCTATTCCCTAACCAAGATTTTTCAAATGAAAGAGACAGGGCCTAATTTTCTATCGTTGATGAAAATAATTTATTGGTGCATAATTGGTCAAAAAACTGAAAAGCATACCGTAGTCGTCCCAAATAATCACTTTGGTTCCCAGCGACCAAGATGATCCTTGGCAGTACTTTACATCCCTCATCACATCCATAAATAGTGCTTCCATTTGGCTGTCAGAATCCATTACAAGAACATAATCCAAAACCTTTGTACCAACTTGTACTTCTTATTTGGCTCTCATTTCTGTATTCTTCAATGGCTGGAAAGAGCAAGGTTTTGATCATTGGAGGGACTGGATACATCGGAAAGTTCATTGTCGAAGCTAGTGCAAAAGAGGGTCATCCACTTATGCTTTAGTTAGAAAGAGTACGGTTTCAGATCCTCTTAAGGGAAAGGTTATTGAGAACTTCAAGAACTTAGGGGTCCAATTGTTGTACGTAAGTATACTCATGTCGTGATGTTTTTTTTTAGTTTGATGTTTTGTGGGCATGTAGGGGGATCTTTACGATCATGAGAGTTTGGTTAAGGCAATAAAGCAAGTTGATGTGGTGATATCGATATCCACCGTATGTCAAATGCAGATAGCAGATCAAGTTAGGATCATTGCTGCCATTAAAGAAGCTGGGAATGTGAAGGTTCGTGTTTCCTAGTTAATTTACTCAATATGTAGAATAGAATTAACTTACCTGCAACTCTGCAAACAAATTAATAAGATTATTCTAATGGTTTTTAATTTGTTTGGTTAGAGATTTTTCCCTTCGGAAATTGGAAATGACAACGACCGGGTTCACGCCGTTGAGCTAGGGAAAACAGCATTCGCAATCAAGGCTCAAATCCGCCGTACTATTGAGGCTGAAGGAATCCCTTAACACTTATGTGCCCTCTAACTGCTTTGCGGGCTATTTTCTTCCTACTTTGGCCTAGCCAGGAGCCACGGCTCCCCCAAGAGACAAGGTCGGTATCCTTGGTGATGGAAATCCTAAAGGTAAATAGTGATTATTGGCTCATGAATATCAGCTTCTTTTCCATTTTTACG